AACCCTAATGTAAACCCTAATGTAAACCCTAATGTAAACCCTAATGTAAACCCTAAACCCTATAGTACTTCTTAAATCTAGCTATTTTATAAATAAAAAAATATATTTAAAGTCTAAAAATATAAAAAATATTTTTCTTTAAATAAAACTTAATTAATAAAATAAATTAAAGTATAAAAAACCTAAAAAAAAAATTTTTATAAAAATTTATTAAGATTTAATATTTTAGTATCTAGTCTTTAACTAGATAATTTCTAGTAAGTATATTTATTAATAAAAACTAAATAAATAAAATAGTATAGATTTAATTTATGAATTTAATTTATAAAATATAATTTAGTTTTTATAAATAAAAAAATAAATTAATAGACTATTTAAACTAAAATTAAAAAAATAAAAAGTAAACTAAAAACTATATAATTATTTTTAATAGCCTAACCAAAAATAAATATATAGTTTTAATAATATAGTATATTATAATTAAAATATATAGTTTAAATAAAACTATAATTATATATTTTTTTTATATTTTATATTATAATAGTAACTAATTTTTAAAAAGCTAAATTCTATTAAGACTACTAGAATTTTCTTATTATTTTATAAAAATATAGATAATAAGAATATTATTTTTTTTAAATTATTTTTATTTTATTTAAAAAGCTTTTTTTTATATGTTTTTTAGTAATAGTTTAAATAGTCAGATTAATAACTGCTTAATCTAAGTATACTTTAATTATACTAAGACTTAAAAAAATATAATAAATAAATCTTAATATTAAAAATAATAAAAATTTTTAATTATTTAGTTTTTAGCTATATTATAATTAGATATAAAAATTTTCTTAATCTAACTATAACCTGGCGGTCAGATATAAAAATTCCAATTAACCTGACCTGACCTGGCTGTTAGCCACTCTAAACTGGTTTAGTTTTCCGGCTAGTTTATTTATTTATATTAATTAATAAAGAATTATAATTAGCTGGTTATTTATAAAACTAATAACTAAAAAATATATTATCTAGTTAAAAATTCTTTTTATTTTTACAATAGATTTTTTAAACTAGACTAACCGGCTAAAAATCTATTTTAATTATAATATTAGCTATTAATTTTTTTATTTCTATTTTTTTAACTACTATAGTTTAGCTAACTGGCTAATTAAATACTGGGATACTATATAAATTGGTTTATTTATAAAAAAAATAGTAATAGGTGTTTTAATAGTCTATTATATAAATTAGTTATAGATATTTTAGATACTTATACCTTTATATATATATAGTCTAAAGTAAAGACCCTGCGGGTCTTTCTTTTTTTTTTTTTTCCTAAGAATGGAATTCTTGTCTGGTTGATTTATCTCCTTTTCGTAGTCTTATAATCACTGGCGCCTTCGACTTAGTGCAGCTCTCATGCCCATCCCGGCGGGCAACAATATATTAGTCTCTGTCTTCCTGCCCTTGGCCCTCCAGGGATCCGTACAGCCCCATGTCGTGGCCACGGGCCGAAGGGCCCTCTTCCACGCTATCTGTGGCCTCTCGGCCTCAAATCTCGCCTCCCTCCACAGCAATGACCCGGAGCTGCTGGAACTGGCGGTTGCGCATCGTCGGCAGAGCTTCAATCAGCTCCGTCTCCAACTTTCGGCCCTGGAGGCGGGCAGGGGCGAGGACAGCGAGGTGGTTGCCCTCCTGGCCACGATCATCCTTCATCTGACCGAAAGCGCCACCGAGGGCATCGCTCACGTCTGGCGACAGCACATCCGCGGGGGCCTCAGCCTGCTTCAGGCAGTGCGGTCAGATTTGTGGTCCGTCTCGACCTCCGCGGCCATGGTGCGAGAAATGTTCCAGTTTCTGCACACGGTGGCTACATATCAGCAATGTCATTGTCACCCCCCGATCGGCAGTCCCACTCCTGGGTGGTACTCCTCTGGTAGCGCCGACAATGCCCGGGACCTTGCCTACATCCAGCCCGCCCTTGCGGGATTCCCGTATTCCTTGCTGACGGCGTTGCATCGCATTCAGGCACTCCCCCCTGCGGTCGACTTGTCGCCCACCCACTTGGATTGCATGGAGCGCGAGCTTTGTCACCTGGCCCCGCCTGCTGGCTCCCGCACGCATCAGCCGGATATAATCCACTGCCACATTCTCTATTGTTCCCTCCTGATCGTCTTCAAGCGACGAACCGGCCGTGGCGCCCTGGGTGGGTTGGAGAAGCTGGCTCATGCGGGCTGGGAGCATGTTCGGCGGCTTGATGCGTTCGAACCCCGGGGTAGCCCCGTGACCTGGCCCATCATCGTGATCGCCTGCGAGATACAACTTCAAGAGCTTCGAGATCAAGTTCTTCGCTGGCTGGCCCTCCGAGCTCGCTCTGGATTTGCGGTTTATCGTCGTGCCCGGGATCTGTTACTCCGGATCTGGAGTGGCGCTAACCCCGCCTTCGCGGACCACCGTTGGGCGACCCTGCTGCACACGGTTCCAGAGTTTGACATCTACTGGGGCTGAGCGACGGGGCATTTCTGTACTAACGGGCATCTCTGACTCATACACATAGGGAACCGCTACCGCCACACCACATCCGCTCTTTTCCGCCAGGGAAAGATCACCAACGAAGACCTGGATGGCTGGAATACCCAGTCGCGGCTCCCCATTGGTTACGCAGGCTTTGGAGCCTTTGTTGCTGGCTGGCTGGGATGCGTGTTGGGCACAGTGGCCTCATTTTATGTTGGCGTCATTGGCGAGAAGATTGGTGGCGGCGACGTGGCCAACATGCTAGGGCTGGCCTTCACCCTTGTATCATATCCCCCACTCCGGCACTTGGAATTGCGATTCTGTGGCCGTTAGTCCTTCTCTACTCGTACTGCTGTTGTATCCTGTGGTTCTTTTCTTGATTGCCTTCCCCGGAGCGTCCGATGAGGCTTGCAATGGGGTCGAGAAGAGGAGAGGGAGGCGGGGTGACCAATTTTGGATTCAGCTCCATTCCCACAATCAAAAAATTGCATCCTACACCTTACATTCTGTTACTCGAGGATAGAGTTGCATTCTCTGAGGCTCATTCGACATATCTCCTAGCATCTAGATATTGTCGTGAACAGCGCCGTCGTGGATGCGGGCGCTTGCACCACCATCGGCACCCCCGAGGCGGACTACGACCGCTTTATGCGCGTCAATGCCAGGGCGCTGTACTACAGTGTGAAGGTGATCGATGTCGTTGGCAGTTGCCGCGTGTCGGGGGACATAAAGACGATGACTAGTTCCTGGGGCAAGTCACATTGGTTTTGGTGCCCTATTCTTGTGGCTACTGTCTAAGAACCTCTTGATTCGCGCCTGTCCATCCCCTCACCGCTGCGTAGCCTAGAGTCTAGATTCCTTGGGATTGGTAATTGCCGTCGAATAACCTTTCCACTGGCTGTTCTCGGAATTTGCTCGATGAAAAAGATGCCTCCTTCCAACCACTTGTACCGGGCAAATCGTTCTTGGATCCATGCATGGAGCCCCTCAGCCGTCACACTGGGGCTTGTGCGGACCACGAATGCCCGGGGAAACTCGCTGCCTTGTCTGCTCCGTCGGGCTCGGGTGTCAGTGGCAACTCAATGACTAGCATGGTTAAGGAGGCAACGCACTTTTTGTAGGCCACGACAGCCGCGTCCACGACTCCTCGATGGGCCATCAAACCCTTCTCCAGCTCCGTTGGGGAGACCTGAAACCCGTTCACTTTAATGAGCTCCTGGTGCGGTCAGTGTAGGCACAGCGCGAGGGTGATTTCTCTTGATCTGAGTGACGGTGAGTCCAGGCGTACGTACCTTCAGTCGATCCACGAGGTAGAAGCACCCCCGATCATCCACATAGGCGATGTCGCCCGTGCGCAACCATCGCTCCTCCCCCTCGGTCATCAAAGCATCTTTCGTCTCAGCTTCACGCTTCCAATACCCTTTCATGACGTTGGGGCCCGCCACCCAGAGTTCGCCCAGCAGTCGCCCCTCGGCAGCCGCACCTCCTTCGAACTCACGCCCTGCAACCGGCACAATTCTCGCCTTGCAATTGGGGCTCAACCAGCCGATGGATCGCCCGTCATCCTGATCATCTGGGGTAAAGCCGGTCAGATTGGATGTGGTCTCCGTCATGCCCCACCCTTGTTTGACCAGCACCCCATCTCGGAGGTACCGATGTCGGAACCGCTGCGCGATGGTTGGATCCAAGGGGGCTGCACCGCTGGTCATCGACTCGATAGCCTTGAAATTGAAACGTCCTGGTTGCTCAACGTTGCAGAGCATGGCTAGCATGGCGGGGACGACGTTGACAAATGTAATGCGGTAGATGTCCACAAAGGTGAGGTACTGGTGCAGGTTGAATTTGGGCATGATGAAGACCTTGGCCCCGAGACGGGGAGCAATGACACAGAAATAAGATTGACCCTAACCTCATTACCAGATACCCCATGACGTTAGATGAGGGCGAACCGACCAGGCAGCGCCATCTCGATGGACAGACTCACAAAGGCATGATACATCGGTACGGCGGCGAGCCATCGCTCACTTGACGCCTTGAGTCTATCCCGACGGGCGCGACCCGCCTCGGTGTTATCTACCAGAAGGCGCTTTGCAATGATCTGCTCGGCATTGGCGATGATGTTGTAGTGGGTGAGTTCGACGCCCTTGGGTAAGCCGGTCGTCCTAGACGAGTCAGTCATGTCGGCGATCGACAAAGCCATTTTCAAATGGAAGATGGCTGAACGCACCCGCTCGAATAGTTGATCACCGCCGTCGTCGTCCTCGCCTCGTCCACGGAGGAGATACGGTCCCATGGCCACAAACTCGCTTCTTCGCTCGACCCCCAAATCTCCGTCCATGGCCGGATGGAGCCAGGGTGTCCGTCGTCTATCCCGGGTGCGACCAGCAAGAGAATTCGGTCCACGGGAAGACCGGCTTTCCGTGCTGCCTCGATAGCCACCTTTGATCCCTCCATGCTCGTGATCAAAATAGTGGCCTCGGAATCACGTAATTGGTATTCAAGCTCTAGCCCGCACCATTCAGCCGTCAAACATTGCCCCAAAGATGCCGGAGACTGTTGAGAAGTTTCACTTCCAACTTACCATACACCGAGGCCGAGGGCGAGGCTCCGGTGAAGACGCCACCGGCCGCAGTCACTCCCCAGACCACGATGGGGAACAGCAAGTCATTCCCCGAGTAAAGGAGAACTTTGTCTTGCTTTCGTAGCTGCATCACCTTCTGTAGACCATACCCAACTCGCTTGGCCATGAGCTCAGCATCTTGCAGGGTGTAGTTGGCGGTAGGCGCCGTAGCATCAAAGTATTGGGGCGATTGGCGCGAGATCGGGGTGCCCGCCGAGGTGATGTAAGAAAACAGATCCGTGGGGGGGATTTCCACCGACATGGGAGATTCGATCTCCCCCCGGTCGGAAATTCGCAAGCGGTCGATCACGGCCATAGTTCGGCGAGAGTAGAATCACCTTCAAATTCGCTTCCCGATGAAGCAAAGTTCATGCTTCCAATGGTTCTTTTATCTACCACGCCTGGTGATGGGCGGTGGGTGATTTATCTCGGTACCGAGCGAGCGGTCGGCGTCGCGGATGTATGTACATTAACACATCCACTGAGGGGTGCATCGTCATGTCTCATTACTGCAAGACTGCGAAGATACATGCACCGCCAATGTCAATGCCTACTATGTCTCTTGCAAATGGGTTCGATACGTTTGAACGTGCCATCCAAGTCCAGGCGATGCGCCCGGGTGCCTATCTGGCCGATCTGAGATGGGAATGGTCGGTCGGCAACGGTCGGTTTTCTTTTTTCCCTTTCTTGTGCTTTTTTTTTTCTGTCCATTTCTATCTTCCTTTGTCTTTGTCTCCTTTTCCGCAATTTGGTCTCCCTACTGACCGAGACACAGTGCCCAATGGAGGCTATGTCGCCGCAATCTTCTACCGGGTAGCAGCCACGCATCTTCTAGCGACACAGCCGAACCGCCACCATGGATGCGCCCGGCCGATTGCGATGCAACTGTCCTACTTTCATCGTTGCCAGACCGGGCCCGCCACCTTGCTGGTGGACAATATTAAGCTTGGAACTCGCATCTCGGTGATTCATGTCACCCTCATTCAGGCCGATCGTCCTAGCGTGGCAGGGTACGTGACCATATCCGACCGCGTTTCCGAGACCGGCATCTCGGTGCCCGGCGATTGGAGTGTCGGCAGCCGCGTATGCAAGGGTTCGATCCAGATGGCGTCCTCGCCTCCGTCACACACGGGTGACAACATGTGGAAGCAGGTTGTAGTGTCGAATCCGGCTTTCCGGCGTGCTTCAACCAAGGTGGAGTTATACCAGTCATGCGCGGGGAGCGGCCGTGCCGACACCCCCCAGCAGCCAGGCGTCGGACAATGGGCGCGCCTCCGCCCGGATAGCCAGCAGGAATCTGGAAGCAGCACGAGTTGGACCATGGAGTCCGTCTCGTTCTTGTGCGATATTCTCCCCACCGCACTCGGCCCTCTAGAGCATTGGGTGAATCAGAAGTACAATTCGGGCGAGACTGTGGCTGGCGCCCCCGGCCCTGTTTGGTTCCCCACTCTTGCCCTCAACATTGACTACAAGAGATGTGCTGGGGCAGACCTAGGCGAGTGGCTCTATAGCCATATCCACATGAAGTCGGTTCATAATGGACGGTTCGATGTGGAAGTCGTGATTGTGGATGTCGTGGGGAATCTCGTTGCGATTGCCACCCAGGTGGCTTTGATCATGCCCAGTGAGCGCAACACAACGAGAAAGGATCGACGTGGCTAACTCTGATCCTAGTTCTGGCTTTCCTCCTCTCTGCCTAGATGGGAATATATGATTAGAATGGCACAAAATGGCACTGGGTTCTTTGTTCGAGCCTCACATGTAATTGGCTCAGACTTGCGATTGATGCTTGACTTGCACTGCGTTCCGACCTCGGGGGGGGGGCTTCTTCATTCTCCCAGGGCATGGACTTGATCGAGAAGATGTACATAATCTGCCCAGAACTCCTCTTCCTGGGGATCACGCTCCCGGGGAGAGAGATTGCTTGGGTTCGCGGAATGTAACAGATCGAGAAGAAAGGTTCTCTCGTCTGGCGTCAAGCGAAAGCTCTCGACAAGATAATGAGGATCAACTTCGCTGCGGGCGGGACGTTCTCTAGGAACGGCCTGGACTCTTCCGGTGACAGGCTTGGTCTTAGTGGGTTTCTCGGTTTTTGTAATACCGTGTAGCGATCTGTTGGTCAAGCGTGGGCTGGGACGATGATTGAGTAGGAGGGAGGGGTCGATGTACTGCGGGATGCATGGCTGACCCTGCATGGAAGACATTTCCGGGCAGCCAGTCTCCTTGATTGCCCGTTCCCTCTTCAGACCCTTGTTCTTGTCCTTATCCTTTGGGCTGTGCACGGAATCTTCACCTGTGACGCCTTGAACTGCTGTCAAAAGTTTCTGTACGATGTCTCCCTTATAGTTAGCTCGGCTTTGTCAGCTCTTGCCCAATAAAAGAATAAGCCGAGCATTGATACGCATACCGATACGCGTGCCGCTCCGGTTTTTTATCCTGTACCTCGTCCAGCAATCGAAATCTCTAGTTCTTATCAATCCTCACCCCGAACTCGGACCACGTAGTGGCGCTGCGCTTATTCCCTTCATCTACTGTCTTGGCTTTCTTTTACCGCCAGCCAGGGCTTTCGATATTAGACGCGAATCGCTCGAGGTGTGGGCCGACTGATCGAGCCCGCCATCGCCACAAGTCTGGATCGCCATTTAGGTTTATCCCACACTTGAAGGTGTGTAAAATATGCGACCAATCTAGCACAGACGTAGACCGGGGCAGTCAAGCAGAGTGCGTAGGTGGTGGAGAAGCCTAGGCTGGTCTGCAGGATGATTGGCAGAAAACATTGTACCGAGTATGTGATCAGCGATGATGTGAAGAAATTGGCGGCGAACAACCAGAGTCTCCAGTCTAGAGCATGTCGCAAGCGGGCCGTCAGCTCGAAGGGAATGAGCTTTACATCATCCTATAATTTCAAGGTCGGAGGGCGTCAGAAACCTGAAGGTATTGCGGTGGGCAGCTTCGGGAAAGTCCACCGTAAAGAGGTATCCCAGCAGCGCGATGATGATTGTCAGGACTCCTTCCCAGATGAATATCCAACGCCAACCACCTTTTCCATCCACACCGTTCATCTGCTCCAGTCCATAGGCTAGAACCCCCGCCCCCCAAAGCCCCCAAAGCCCAACCCACGAAGAAAAGCGCCATTCGCTTAGCTAGCTCTTGACAAGTATAGTACATGCTGATCACAAAACTAGCTGACGGAAAGTAGCATCCCTCCAGGAATTCAAGCACGACCCGATCCTGCCAGCGGATGCATGACCCAATCCCTATCACCACAACACCGAAGAATAGCGTCGCAGCCGGTAGGACGGTTCTGGGACCAAGCTTCCGGACCAGAACAGTCGCGATGGGCGCGGAGAGGATATAAAATGGAAAATAGATAGAGATGGCTAACGTATAGCGGTTGCCGCTGTACCCGAGCTTTTGTTGCATTTCAGAAGTGTACCTTGGACCGCGAAGGTGATCACCATTAGTTGGATGGTGGTGGAAGGCGCCCAGGGGAGGAGGAGGCAATGCTTACGCATATGATACATTTCCTCGGTCGAGCTGGTTGGCAATTTACATGAGTGATAGCGGAACGAGAACTCTCGTATCGACCCTGCCTTTGATTCGCTTCACCTGGGCAGTACTGTAGCTTGGTGGCTCCGTGGCAAGGTCTTCGATTCTTGGGTCGTCGATGGGTTTGGCCATCTCGATCGAATTCCGCCTCCTCAGAGGGTCGGCTGTTGGACCTGGAGCCATGATAGAGACTGTCGGCAGAATCGTGAACCTCGAAATGCGCAGAAGCTCTTTGGGCCTCGGCATCGAGATGAATGGGAATACTTGCAGAGTATTTATTGTAACAGGCTCGGTGCCGACTGCACACTACTGAAGACCTTGCCGGCCCTTCACGTGCTGAAATCCTCGTATGCCCAATTCCCCTGGCCGCTCCTACTTGAATATCACCAGAGTACCGACATAGCGGTCAGACGGTCGTCGGCTTGGTAGGGGAGATTCGTGGGTTGAGATGTCTGTGCAGAAGCCATTATAGAGAATTGAACAGAAGAGAGGCTCTATCTTAGACGAGAGTTTTTCAGTCTAGCTACATGGGATATGTTCGTGTTGATGGAAACCAGTGCCAAAGTCACTCAATCACTAACAGCTTGGCTCCTGCGTGTCATCGACGGCCAGTCGTTGTAATTTTCATTTGGATCCTCGAAGGGCCCATAGTTGACTCTACCACCTCGGTCGTTCTTCGCGAGTGAGACTTTGTGCTTGATGCGGCTAATCAGATCCTGAAAATGCCATTGTGTTAGCCTTTCCACCCATGCTACCGAAACTCCATGCTTCACTTACCGGATTGTAGATGAAGGGTCGAGCGAACGTCACCAGGTCAACTTTCCCTGCTTTGATCAGAGCACTCGCTTCCTCCACCGTGTACTCATGGTTGACCATCAGCATTGTCCGACTTCCGGGACACCTGATCATGGGCCCGAATTGAAGCACGGGGTCGTACTTTGGCGGCAATTCTTTGCCCTGGGGCCTCGGCGGCGACCTGAAATATTCATCGGTCTCTCGTCCGACGTCACAGCCGCGTCGGGATAGATTGATGAAGGCAAGGTCACGGCGCATCAGCTCCTCTATGTAGTACGTATACGTCTCGCTCAGTTCCTGGTAGGAGACAGCAGTGTCGTTGTAGTCATCTGGGGGGCAAATCTTGATTCCAACTGATCGCGAGCCCCATACCTCAATCATCGCATCGAGGACTTCAAGAGGAAAGCGGCACCGATTCTCGACGGAACCGCCGTATTCATCGGTCCGGGAGTTTGAGTGCCTGCGGAGGAATCTCAGCTGCGCGAACCTTGGGTTCAGGCCGTATGAATGCTTACGATGCGAGGAAATTATGAAGCAGATAACCGCTAGTGGGGGAAGGATCAATATCATGTCAGTTGGAATATTCCCTTGCTCATGTTGTGATTTACATCGCACTCACCCCTGAGACAACAGTTCGATGCCGTCAAAACCCGCCTCCTTTGCCAGGGTGACCGAGTGGCGGTATTGCCCCACAAAGGCTTTCGGGTTGTCGATCTCGACAATGTTGTGGGTGTGGCCTGGAGTTCCTTCTAAGGTGCGGAACTTGCCTCCCTTCGCAGCGATCTTGGAGGGCGCATAGACCGGGTACCCGTTGTCTTTGAGCATCGGCATGTTTTCATTCTGAATTCGCCCTGTAGGTACGCAGCTCACAAGGTCAGTGTCTCACTCGCTGATGACAAAAGACTGGAAGGAGGTCGAAACCGACTGACCAGCGTGCCAGGGCTGGAAGAATATCTTCCCCCCCACGTCGTGCACGGCACTGGTAACCTTGGCCCAGGCCCGCGCGTGCTCATCGTTGTACATGACCGGTGCATGTGGCCATTCAGCTCCATGAGGGCTTATGAAGGTGCCTTCGGCGATGATCAACCCCGTGCCATCGCGCGCCCTATCAACGTAATGCTTGATGCTGGCCTCCGTCGGTTTGTTATCATCAATGCATCGATTGCGCGTCATGGAACCCATGCAAACCCGGTTCCGGAGCTGAATAGTATCCCCAAGGATCACGGGCTCGAGTAGATCGGCCATCTCTGTCGTTAGTTGCTTGGTCCGCGGACTTCTCGAATCGGTAGTATGCAGAACAATGGACGAGTCGACAAACCAGAACTTTACAGGTGCCGTAGTGGTCCCTGGTGACTGTATAACCTGGAGTTGGGGGGAATTGAATACATCGGGGCAGACGTCACGGTGCCGAGCCGGTTCACTCTAGCCGTACGCCCGGAATATGTATTCCGACCAGGCCGCCCAGCGCCCGCCAACAGAAAAGGTGGGTAAAATCATGTACGTCACAAATACAGGTTGCTTTGGCCACCTACGCCCAGTGACCTACTCGGCGAGGGACATGACCTTGATTCTACTCCTGCGCAAGAGACTCCCCACAGGAAAATGTAATCGGCAAGCCAGTGGGCTCGGCAAGCGAGTGGGCACTTGTGTATTGCATCAAAAAGAGTATACTTTACAATCATAAATATTTTCTTTAACTTTGATATGCCTATGATAAGATTAATGTCTTGGTTTTGTATGATCATCATGATATTACCAATGTTTATTATTTCGAAGCATTATTTACCAAGGTATTATGATAAACACGGTAAGTTTACATATTTGAAGTTAACTTAGGATCCAATAACTCTAGGCTACTCTATTTTTAATTGGTTCAAGCTAGAAGCTGCTTCTTTACTTTTGTGTTATATTCAATTTCATACTTCTCAATGATCGCGTGGTTAATCTCAAAGAATTGAAAAGTAGACCCTTGTATATGCAATATACAGGGTGCCCACTCGCTTGCCGATTACGTTATGGAACGCATGAGGTAGACACGGAGTTCTACAGCCCTGCTTGTGATCCGTACACAGATTCAACCCACCGAATGCTCGTCAGTAGAGATAAAACGCTAACCCTAGTACATTGGCGGGGGAACCTCCGCAGGCTGCACATCCTGTCCATCCAATAGTCCATAATACCAGGTCAAATCTCGCCCATCATACTCGCGTACCTCGAATTCGTCCCCAAGGTAGTTAAATCGATTACTAGTGAGATACGAGATCTCGTAATCCTCATATCGTGGCGCCTGGAGGACAGTCAGGTAATGAACTCCGTAGCCCGGCCAGAGCTTCGGCTTGCGGCCAACTTGACCCGCCTTAAACCAGGAGCTGCAAGGGCCAGACCAGGCTGTCCGCTTTAGATAGAGGTCCGCGTGCCGGGTGAATTCCTCGGCGGCTTGGCGTGAAACCTGAATCCGGCGGATGTCCTCTACCTGCGCCTTTCTGATGATCTGGAGGATGTAGTTGGTGAAGGCCTCGATCATGGGGAGCGCAGAGCCGTGGCCCAGGGGTCCATAGGGGGCGCTGAACATGAAATAGTTCGGGATTTCGGGGAGGTTGAGGCCGAGGTAGCCGGGGGCGTCGGCGGGATCGTCCTGGACGTTGCGGCCGTTGGCGATGAGAGGGAAACGAGGGCGGAAGGTGGTATCAAAGCCCGTGGCGCAGATGATTATGTCCACCTCATGGTGTTGGCCGTCGGCACTGATAAACCCCGTCTGCGTGATTGCCGTCAGGTTCTCCGTCCAGACCGTGGTCTTGTCCTCCGTTAGGGCTTCGAGAAACCCGTTTCCCGGGGTCGGTCGACGACAACCGATTCCAAAGGTCTTGGGCATCAGCTTGTCAATCAGGTCTGGTTTCCTCGCCAGCTTTTGCTTCATCTGGGTCTCCGAGAACTTGCGCGCCGCCAAAGCCTCGGGAGAGTCATTGACGACGAGCCGAAACCGGACGCTAAGCTCCGACTCAATAGCCTTGCAGTACCGCAGATACAACTCCGGGTCGTCTCGAAACTGCTGCTTGGTGGCCTCAGAATATTTGAAGTTGCTACCCCCGGGGCCGGCATACTTCGGCGCAAAGCCGGCTGTTATCCAGGTAGGCGACCGAGCGACAATGTGTAACTGGTTGACTTTGGGTAGGATATTGGGAACAATCTGCACCGCCGAGCTGCCAGCGCCAACGACCAGCACGCGTTTACCTGCCAGCTCAACCGCATCGTCCCAGTTTGCGCTGTGCATTAGAGGGCCCTGGAAGGTGTTCAGTCCCAGGATCTCCGGCCATTTCCACGCATTGAGGTGGCCGCCACCATTGAGGAAGAAATCGGCATAGTCGTCGAAGGCCGTGGTTGGGTCCTGATCACGCACGACAGTGATTCTCCATTTGGAGATGGAGTCCAGCCACTCGGCTCCCACTATTTGGTGGTTGAACTTGGCGAAGCGTTCTAGGTCATTCCTCACGGCCACATCCTTAAAATAGCCGAAGATCTCGCGGGATCCAGCATAGTACTGCGACCAGTCGGGCTTGCGTTGCCAGCTAAACTGGTAGCACACACTGGGGATATCACAGGCGCAGCCGGGGTATCGGTTCTCTAGCCATGTGCCACCAAGATCGCTGCTTTTTTCGTAGATCGTCAAGTCGATGTTTTGTGTCTGCTTCGCCACAGATTGGGCAAAGTTAATCCCCGCGGCGCCCATGCCCATGAAGATAACCTTCATGGAGCGACGCGACCCCATGGGGGTTTCGCGAATGTGATAGTCTGCTCCTGCATGTTGGCGGCTGGTCGGACCGATCGAACCCATGTTTCGTGCGCAGGTTGAAAGTATGCAAGCAAATGCCAACAAAGATTGGGAAGCACTTGATCGTCGAGATCTTGATTGCTATAAAATAGAACATTCACGTGTTCCCCTCTGGATCATGCAAACGCAGGCGTTTATCAGTATTCGGAGACATACATCCCCGCGGCTGCCGGTGCCGAGGCTTGAATCGGCACCGAGAGTCTGGAGAAGCCGTGGCGGGGAACAAAGAACAACAATTGAGGCAGACTTAGAAGTTGTCGTCTTGATTCGCACTACCTTGAGACAGAAATGTACTGACGGTTTAGTCTGGCTAGCTAGACACGAGAAACGCCAGACAAAGAACGCAAAGATGGTCAAGCTATGGAAGCTCCTCCTGCAGAACCCCGGCAGATCGTGTCGGTTTCTCTACACTTTCACCGTCCAAATGCTTCTGATTGGGCTGCGCGCGATTCTCTTACCCGGCTTGCCACATTACCAAACGCTGCGTTTGCGGCTTCATCGGGCATACTGGTCGTCCAGTTCCTACTACTTCCCGGAGCTGATCCATCGATTGCCCGTCACTGACTGCCCCCTGGCTCGCGCGCGCAGGGTTGGGGATAGTTTCAGCGGATATGTGATCCCTGGAACAGCCGAGCTCTCCGTCACCCCGGATGACAAGCGACAACGATGTATCGTGATCTATGCGCACGGGGGCGGGTATGCCCGTGGCGAGGCCCGAATGTATCTGAACTACATGGATCGATGGCTCGCCGGTGCCGCAGAGGAGGGACTGGAACTTGTGTTTCTCAGCGTGGAATATCGTGCGTTCCTACCGTTCCTTAGATGTTTGAATCTCACGTCACTCGGTTCTAAAATAACTGAATTCTGTCTTCATGGTACAGCACTCACCCATCAAGCGCCCCAGCCTGCTCAGCAACAGGCCTTTCTGCAAGCCTATCAATATGTGCTGGGCTGTGGGATATCACCCAGCAACATCGTGTTTATGGGCGACTCGGCTGGCGGTAGGCTCATGTTTAAATCTATTATCCCACCCCCCAACCCCAGCGATAAATACAGACTCGCAGGCTGATAAGCAAACTGTGACAGGGGGTCTTTGCTTGCTGAGCTGCCTCGCAGCCAAGCAGAACGATCTTCCCCAGCCGGCAGGCACTGTGCTAATCTCACCGTGGATGGACATGTCGCTGAAGGCCTTTGAGGGAGGGAACGCCCTTGTTGAGACTGACTACATTGTGGGCGCCAACGCGACCGTGCCCACATTTGTCGACGCCTGGTTGGACGGCGAAAGTGGAAGCTCGCCCAAGGTCAATGCGCTGTCCTGTGTGCCCGCTACATTCAGTGGACTCGGTCCGGTTTTGGTTCTGGTTGGGGGGGGCGAGTTTGCTCTACAGGAGGGCAAAGATCTGGCTGCTCTGCTCAGCAAGGCCGGGGTGCGACATCATCTTCAGGTAGAGTGGGGGCAGATGCATCTGTATGGCTTGGGTTCGGCCTGGGTGGATCCGAGCGTGCGCAGAAAGACGGATGGAATGATTTACCGGTGGATGCTGGATTGCGTGTCTGATGCATAGGAATAGAATAGCTGTATAGCCTCTCGCACCTAGCAAGAACGACAATTCCCCTACCCCCACAGCCATCACACAGGCATACCAACCGAGAGATTGCCGCCATTGGTCTCTAAGATGTCCGTTCGAGCGTATGTCTAATCAAATGTCCCGAGGGAATACAAAAGAAATGTTTCTACCATCAGATCGACCGGATCCATCCCTGAGGTCCCGAGCAGTATACTGCGACAGCAGGAGAGACAAGGAATCGCAACTCGGATTATCCGTACAATCTCAAAATATGAATCCCAAGGGACCTTTCAGAACCTTTCAATGAACCACCTCATAAATCTCGTACTCCACCGCCTGGACATTCCCCTCTCTGAACCATCGTCCCCTGCCTACGAACTGCGTCGTGGACACCCATGTGAACTTCGGATCTACACCTGGTCAGTAGTGGCACTCAGACTTCGGTCAGTGTTCACCGAGTGCAAGCATCTGGGCGTACCACTGGTCTCAATATTTGGCGCACTCCACCAGTGATGGTCGCCAAACTCCGTGGTCTTTGCATCCGGGCTCCATGCCATGAACTTCTCCGCCGCCTCGTCCAGCCGTAGATACCCGTTATAGTGAACATAGACACACTCCCCGGTCTTGGTGCGCCCCTGGGTACGCACGTCCAAGTGAGCGGTGTTGGTGGTCTCGTCAAACAAGATCCAGTCACTGCCACCAACGACGAGAGTTGCGTCGAGTCCCTCTCCTCTCGTTCCCGGGATGCCGCGGAGGAAGCCACCTTCGAGCGCGGTAATATGGCGATGGGGACCGGAGCGATGCTGTCCAGCTTTGATAGTGTCGGCGCCCATGTGGCCTCGGAGATGGAAGACATGGTTTAGCTTAGGAGGTGTCGGGGTTGCCATTGTGTGCACTTGTTGGGGTAAACAAGGTGAGATCCACGAGTGTGGTTCATGTCCAGCGATGCCTCCTCTCTCCTCTTTTATCTCTTTCCGTAGACAAAGCCGAAACAATTAAGGATACATTCGGGTTTTCCCCACAGCTTACCTCCTTTCTCCCCACTCCCTCGCGCGGGGCAATCTTCGGGGTTGCGGCAGTTCATTCACCCGTGGTTGATTCGGCGCCGAACTGAAATGCGGGGGGAAACTGAATCTCCACTCCTCCACCTGGTCAGATCCAACCTCCATCCAATTTAATACCAGGATCTGACCAGATTTGTCAGTATGGACAATTCGAAGATCGTCAGCACCGCCGCGGATCACCGCAGGTATTTTCCTTCGATATTTTGTTTCGACCACTTGCGACCGCCCCAACTCTGAACCACAAGCGCCGCGACACCACTGTCCAGTAAAGCCCTAACACCATGGCTCTTGTGGGGCTGTCCCCAATGAATTGCCCGTCGGGCACCAAACTGCATATTCTCAACCTGGGAACCCTCCAAGCCGACGAAGGATTCCTCATCCGCGGGGCCAATACCAGTCTGGTGAGCGAGACGAACCCGGTGAGCAAGCGGCGAGACTTGATGGCCATTGCTGTGCTGATAGATCATCCTGATGCGGGACTGTTGCTATTCGAGACTGGTTGTGCTGAGGATATCGATACGGTATGCTGATACAGTCCCCGTTCCTGCATCCTCTTGCTCCTGCGGCCGGACACTGAAGTGGGTTAGCAATGGGGTGGAACCATGACCGATGTCTTCCCTCGGACTGAGTACAGGGAGGAGCACAAGCTACCCAACGCGATTCAAAAGGCTGGGTACGACATCAAGGATATCAAGGGAGTGATCTTTGGGCACCTGCACATCGACCATGCCGGGGGTTTGGAGCACTTTATGGGAACGGACGTGCCCAGTGAGTAGCATCATTGTTACCTTGTTCCGCCTCCACCGGTGGATTTGAAGCACCTTGTTGCTGAATGCTATAGTATATGTCCACGAACTCGAGTTCAAGCATGCCTGCTGGGCTGTCGCTACCGGCGCTGACCGTGGGGTCTACCTCGCCGAATACCTCAGCCTTTCAAGTCTCAATTGGCAGACGTTTCATGAATCGTCAGTTGACCTGTTCCAAGGAATCACTCTCCATCATGCGCCAGGTCATACGCCGGGTCTTTGTATCATGCAGGTCAATCTGGAACGGGACGGGACCATTATCTGCACGACGGACCAGTACCACGTGAGAGAGAACCACCTGGAGAAGATGCCACAGGGCTGGCTGGCCCGGGAGCACAATGACTGGGTCCGAAGCTCCGTGATGGTCAATCGGTTGCAGCGACGTTTTAACGCAAGGTTGTTGTATGGTCATGACAAGGAGGTGGCTGAGGCTATGATCCGGGAAAAGGAATTCTTCCTGTAGATCTCTAGTTGAACCTATAGACGCATTCCCTTCGCGTGAGATCACAAATATTTGCCTGGGTAATTCTCGTACACCTCATGAGACCGGCGATAGGTGCTCCTCGACAGCAAGCGGATAGGATGCAGAACAGACGAAAGGAGATGCGCCATCGACATTCCAATACCTACCTTGGACCATGCCATTATGCCTTTACATGGGAGTGGTGAGCTGGAAGGGCAATTCAGGTTGTTATCTCAATAAATCTCATGGTGTCCGGACTGAACATGTGCCCGGCAAGTACGTTTATTACACAGCCTCTAGAAACTCTGGGCAATGTACCAAGAACTCTACTGTTTCAATGATACGTGTGTTCGCTTGAGTAGAAGCTGCAAGAAGTATCTGTAGCACAGCGCAGCCGATGTGGTAGGATCAAATTAGCGCCGGAATGACGAGACGCAGGATCTATCCCGTTACCATCTTCAATGCCTAATAGTCATAGTCTCCGGGACATCTTCTCCCGAAGTAGTGCCCTCGATGTGCTCGACCTGAGCCTTCTCCATATCACCCAGGGGAGGGGTTGGGATACCAAAAAGGGTGGCACTTTCTTCCAGAGTCAGCCCCTTGGTTTCCGGCAGACGAGCCAAAACGGGCACCCCTGAAGCGGGCACTATGATAAAGACTAGATAGTACTTCCATCCAACCTGGGCAAATGCAGTCGATGCCGCCTCGGTATAGACCGGAAGGTCATCAGCGGCTGACAAGAGCCAGATGGGAGTACCCTCATGCTCGACTGGGTTGCTACTCACTCAATGTCATCATGAAAAGCCCAAAGATAGACAGGGCCATCCCCTTGGCACGCTCATGCATCGGGAAGATCTCCGAGCAGTAGACATAGCTGACCGTATCCACGAAGATGGCGTAAAAGGTTACATGCAGAAAGAGGAATACAATCCCCATGACGTTGCCCGCTTGGTTATCTGTGCTGCTATACCGGGCTACCATCGCGGTGTAGCAGCTCATCATGACCACGCATCCGCACTGGTGACGCCGCGTCGTCAGTCCACATCTTATACTTGACGCGTCCTACCCTTCCCAGACGGGCGCCGATACTCACAATGCCAACCACCATCATGCGCACTCGGCCCAGTCGGTCGACCATCCGGCTGGCTACCCAATTCAGGATGGCGGCCCAACTGGTGTAGACCGAGTAGAGGAGTAGAGGGAGGGATCCGTACAGCCCCAGGTTGTTCCATAGCAGAATCTAGCCCTCATATCCATTCTCAATATCATAGTCGCATCCATGAACACGAAATTGGACAACCCTCACCTGATAGTTGCTGATCACCAGTATGCCGGAGCTCTGAGCAAGGCACCTACTGATCTTTTAGCTTGCTCCTTTCCAAAGGCGTGTTCACCGATTGTAGGTCGACTGACTGCACGAAGAAGACACAGAGCAAGCGCTTCCGCGTCTGGGGATCTTTGATCGACTGAAGTACATTGTTGGAGCTCTCGCTCTCAACGGCGATCTGCTCACAGATCTCCCTATATATCTCTACAGTCGATCCGTCATGGTCCGTGGTGACGGGCTGGAGTCTGTTCAGAGTTGACCATGCTTGGTCCCGCTGACCCTGGGAGATGAGCCATCGTGGGGACTCCGGGATCCACGGTGTAGTCAACACAAGAAGAAGTGGAGCGACAGCTGCCATGATTGTGAGGAGTGATCAAGTCAGATGCTTCTTCCTAGCGCCGCACGCGAAATGAATTTGCCAAGGAGGGGGTACCTTGCAGAGACAGGCAAAGCCGCCATTGGGCCTCTAAATGAGTCTCGAAATAACACCCATATCCCGTCCAGGCAGCGAAAGCCTTCACGTACATTCCCGAACGACCTCTCCGTCAGCTTGAACGCGGCCCAGTCTCTCGAAATCCGCAGTGGCATGAGTACTCACATAACCCGTCACAACCAGTATTCCATGCGAGCCAACCATCTTCCCTCGCTGGTGGGCGGGGGAGATCTCCGACTGGTAGAGAGGAGTTGCAATACTAAACATGCCACACCTGTATACATATTGAGTGCCCGGATAGAATGGTGTGCGTGCTCTCCGCTCAAGAGACAGGAAAGATCGTACGCGATTCCACTCAAGCACCGGCCCACCAAGAACATCGCAACGTGCACCGAGGCCCCCATTATGGCGGCCGCAATCACTCCCAGCACACACGGGATTTGAATCGCCTTGACTCGACCCAGACGGTCAGCCAGCCAGCCATTAAAGGCGGCCCCAATCATCCCGCCCCCGGCAAAAAGTCCATTCGCCGCTGGATAGCTCAGTTAAAGTACAAGCATGATTGTCTCACAGCGCTCAAGGGCAGGGGTCTGCTCACCGCCAATGATGGAAGCCGAGCTTGATCCATTCAACGTCAGACCAAAATAGGAGAAGAACGAAGGGAGTCCAAAAACGGAGCCAATGATGGCCGAGTCAAACCCATAGGTAAACGAGCCCAAGGCCACCGTGAGGACGACAACCAGGTTATATCTGGATACGGTCATTGTGGGGGTGGGTGGGTGCGTCGGTGGTAGATCGTAGAGCTAGGGCATGATATCAGGATGCACGCATACTCACTTATAAGATGGAACTTTTGCAGCCATCGTCGGTACCGAGGCCGGCCGATTAGGTTTGACTCTAAACGGCTGATTGCTGCACTATTCCATTTTCTTTCTGTCTGTGCAGTACCCCGTGGGGATCCCCATGGGGAAACACGGTCTTCCGCTTGTTTCAGGGGGAGCGCATGCCAACTGTGGGGAAGAGGGGCGGGGCGAGCTTCTGTGCACACCCGAGGTGTATTGGAAATACATCTTAATCTTAAAGTTCGTATTAGGAACACACTTTATTGCGTCAACATACTCTTCGGCTGCATGGCTGAAATTTCGGGTGTCGACTCCGGATGTGCATGTCTGGCGGAGAAGATATTGTGCACAGTAGTGAATATGGCAATGTTCACATAACCTGTTACTTTACCCGTGAGACCTGGAGTTGAAGATCCAGACATGTTGGCATTCTCTCTACCAATGTACTATATTCTTGCTGTTGAATAAGTATCGACTTGAACCTGTAAGTAATCTAACCCCGGAGCACCAGCCACAGCCACCAGCCACAGACCAGATAACGGTAAACTTATAGTACAGTACATTATCGTATAGCACACTCCCGCGGCGCCACCTCCGCTTTTGGTCCTGCCTACCTTATCTTCGTATCAACATTACCCGAGGCTGATTATGGCCATTGCATCCTGCATCTCCATCTTCATCTCCATCTCCATCTCTATCCCGTCCCATCCCATTCCATCCCATTCCATTCCTCTTCCCCTTCCCCTTGATAACCTTCGTCGCCTCAGACTCCAAGCCTAAGGATGAGTGCCCCCCTGGGTAAAAAGCCGACTGCGTGTGTACCCTGCCACGAACGGAAGGTGCGCTGTGACTCGACAGTGGTCGGGGTTCCTTGTACTCGCTGTATCACCCGAGACCGAGCCGGCTCTTGCACTCTCCTTGAACGCGGGCCCAGGGCCAGTGCCACCGACTCCAACAAGCGTCGACGTATAGTTCATGGCGGCCAGGCGGCATCGAAAGATTCTCATAATCCCGAGCCTCACCCGGAACCGGCCTCTCCCTCCCGGCGTCCGCCAACCCCGGCGACAAGTGTTGCTCCGCGGCGGCATGCCTCCTTCAGTCACAGCCAGAGCGATGTGGCTCAGGGTCTGTTGGAATTGTCCCATGCAGGCGTGACTGCCTCGATACCCGAGACAATCCAGCCAGGGCTTCAGCAAGGCCCTCCCGTCTACTACCTGGCTTCGGATGAGGATGCGCATCTGGAGACCTTATGCCGGATGGCGGATGAAAACCCAGTCATGCTATCCCCGGTCCCCTTGTACACATCGGAGCAAGGGCAGCAGGTCATCGAGTACTATGGCGAACTCAACTCCATTACCGTCCTTAGTGAGGTTCTGGGCCAAGCACAGCGCCGGTTGATCCGCCTCGATCTTCCAGGCCCTGCGGCGGTCGGCGCCCAGCAAAGGGAGTTCGCCGGCTTGGATGACGCCGACATCGCCTATTTGCGTGCAAAGCACGTCCATGATTATCCTCCCACAGCGACCTGGTGAGAGAGACTTCCGCCTATTCGCTTGATGTGGCCACTAAACGGGGGCTGGAATGCCTGGACTGACGACGCTCTGCAGCCGCGCCTTTCTGCACCTGTTCTTCAAGCACATCTACCCGTATACCCCGATCTTTAATCGACAGCGATTGGTGAAGGATTACGAGGAAGGTAGTTGCTCAAGCTTTCTTCTCTGGTCCATCTTCGCCAACGTCGTCCCATACGCCACCCCCGAGCTCGTCTTCGAATCTGGGTATACCGAGTACGCGATTGCGCAGAAGGATTACTTCTCGCGAGCCCGACTGTTGTACGATTTTGGATGCGAAAAGGGCCAGCTGAATCTTCTGCAGGGGTCGCTGCTGCTCAGCTCGTTTCAGAACTCGTTTGCCCCGAATAAGGACTTTCGGTTCTGGTTTCACAACGCCACTCGCATCGCGTTGCAGATGGGATTTAATCGACGGTATGGTCAATCCATCGAGAAAAACACCCCAGGTGAGGAATAGAATCAGAGAGCTAAGCGACAGTAGGGACTTCAAGAGCCATCTCGACTCATCTACTCAACAACTGGTGCGGCGGATCTGGTGGGTGTTATATGTAGGCCACCCCATTTCCTCCCACTATACAGCTTGCCCCCCAACCACACTAATGTGCCCGACGTGATTGCAATGGACAGTCGCGTGATATCTGGTTCTCGGTGGTCGGATTTGAAAATGGAAGAGTCATCGATGATCACGGGATTGAATGGCGTCTGCCCGAGGCGGAAGACTGGACTGTCGAGCTGGTCGCTGCCTCGCCGCATCCAGACATCATCCCCCCTGTTACTCCCCTCCACCAACATTTTCTCACAGAAAATCGTCGGCTGGCACTGCTTGGTAAGTAGATCGTCGGTCTCAAACTCGCCTGATCTCGCCTAATCCGGATGGTATCACCTGGGGATAGGCGCGCGCTTTCTCAACCTCCTGGGGCCGAATCGCCCAACTCCTACGATCGCAGAAGCCGAAGCATTCATCCATGCCCTCGCGGCGTGGCGTAGTTCATTCCCGCAGGACTTACTCCTTGACCGTATCACCCACTGGAACGAAGGTAATGCCTGGGTCTTGTTCCTCGCGTCCATGGGCTACCGCCTGGAATGCTCCTTTTGCCGGACGCTGCGGCAGCGGGCCAGGACTTTGGTGGACAAGAGCCATGAATTAGCGACGTGGGCCAATGACCGGCTCCGGCGATGCATCTTCGAACTCGATACCGTCTTGAAGAGAGCGATCTTGAACGATGTCGCACGGTTTTGTCCCCCATCGCTGTATGATGAACCCATCCTGCCTGGCAACGAGAATCACCCTCAGCCAAGTAATCATGTCGCTCACTAATATTGGCTCGTCTGCAGGATAATCTGCATCTCACATCTTCTGGTCTTTCAGCTGGACTTGGTCTTGGACTCCAACACCTCAGAGGCACAGAGAATTGCGGCTAAGACGCAAATTCACACGGGACTGGCGTATCTCCGGGAGGTCGGGGATCGGTGGTTGAATGCCAAGTGGACTTTCCGGGTGTTTGATAGTGTGACGAAGAGGCTGGGGATTACGATGACTGGAGGAAGGCACGAGCTCATTAATCCCTATCCTCACGATGAAGGATGGTCCGGAGTACCGGATGTCGGAATGGCGGAGAGTGGCCTCTGGCGAGAGGACGCTGGGGCTGGACCAATGCAAAACGGGCCGGCGGGTGGGGGACACTCGGCGCCGACGCAGCAGCACCCGCAGCTCGGGGATGAAATGCCAATGCCCGATCGATGGATCGAAAGTCTATTGACGGAAATTTTGATGAGTGGGTTGGATGATGGATTGTTTAGTCTCGTGCCGCCGTAGCCATGGAGTCATATGATAAGTTACCTGCGTTTGAAGCCGAGACACTCCCCCCACACGTGGCATCAGTCAGGATCGGCTTTCTTTAGTGTATCTGTATCGTAGACCGAGAGTGCCCGAGCCCCATTGCCGAAGCCCTACCCCCCGAACCACGATCCTTAAACTTGCACGATTCCCCAGAGACTTGTAGTCCCCCCCTCCTTCTCCCAAACGAACAATGACAGAGCCCATCCCCCCTCGTCCCTCGGCCTCCCTCACCGGCAAAGTGGCTGTAGTCACCGGTGCCGGCGCCGCCCCCGGGGCGATCGGCAATGGCCGCGCCACTGCCATTCTCCTCGCAGAGGCAGGCTGCGCCGTCGTATGTGTGGACTTGAAGCTCTCGCTGGCCGAGGAGACAGTCGAGATGATCGAAGCCGACGGTCTGGGGCGCGGGGTCGCCATCGTCGCCGACGTAACAAGGGCCGAGGACTGTCAGCGAATTGTCCACCTGGCGCTCTCCACCTACGGCCGTCTCGATATCTTAGTCAACAACGTGGGGGTCATGGGCGCCAAGGGGAGCGCCGTGGAGGTGGATCTCGACGGCTTCATGGACGGGCTTCGCATCAACGTGGCCAGCATGGTGCAGATGGCCAAGTATGCCATCCCCGCGATGGCGGCGAATGCAGGAAGATGTGCAGGGAGCATCGTCAACATGTCCAGTGTGGCCGGGTTGCGGGGAGGCACGCCGCATCTTCTGTACCCGACGAGCAAAGGGGCGATTGTGAATATGACCCGAGCCATGGCAGCCAACCATGCTGCTCAACGCGTTCGGGTGAATTGTGTCTGTCCGGGTACGTGTCCCGATGTTGTTCTCCCCTCATCCTGATCGTCATCTCGCACCCTGCACGGTCGGCTAACTCGCTACAGGCATGGTATACACCACGATGATGTATCAGAACGGCAGTGGAATGAGCCGGGCGGAGCGAGAGGCACGCAAAGCAAGAAGTCTACTGCAGACCGAAGGGAATGGGTGGGATGTGGGCGCCGCAGTGCGCTTTCTAGCAAGTGATCTTGCTCGATGGGTGACTGGGGTGGTCCTCCCTGTCGATGCTGGCACCACGGCGGCTACGGGAGTCGGGATGCAAGGACTGCATACGTCGAACCTCATGCACGGAACGGAGCCAAAGAGTGTCTCTTAGGATGGTAAGTTTTGGTCTAGCATAGTGACGACTATCATCTTCCTACTAGATGCAGCGAATATATATATACAGCGGGCAGGCGGGTGTCACGTGATAGCGGCCACAGGCCTGTGGCCGGGCCACCACGTGAGCACCACCACGTGAGCACGTGAGTTGTAGCTGATGACCCCTCCATCTCTCCATCTGCTTTGTTGTAACTTAGCCGCCCACTGCACAACCTTCCACCATCCAACTTCTTACCTCGCCCACCAGCGCATCCACCCTCAAGCCCCTCGCAATCAATGACGGGATTGTGGTGAGATTTGGCCGCGGCGTCAAAGAGTACGAGGGCCAGGTCCTGATCTTTCTCGAGCGCTATGTCCCCACAATTCCTGCGCCTCGGCTGTACGCCATGTATAAGGATACCGAGACGCTCGAAACGTTCCTGGTCATGCAGCGCATCCCCGGCGAGAGGCTAGACGCAATTTGGCCATCATTGGCCGAGGACGAGAAAGACGATATTATCGAGCAACTCCGGCGAATTTTCGATAACCTCCGACAGGTTCCGTGTCCTGTGCACGGATATACCAGCCTCACACACCTGTCTGGGTTGATTGGCAGAGGATGACCCGTCTACTTGAACAACTTGCAGCGCCCAATGCGAGAAGCCACTCACAATCCCCTCGGCCAACCATTCATTCTCAGTGGTTCGCATTTCGCGCCGCAGGGTGACTTACCTCTAGGCAATCGCCGCAGCGATGGTGAACTAGTAGGTACCCGGGTGGACTAGACTGCGCTTAGATGAGCCTGGGCCGCATAAGACAAGGCTTTTACAGCGCCGCCGCAACCCACTGGCTGCATGTCCGCCAGGTTTATTGCCCCACTTTCTTCGTTCCAGACCGGTGCCATGGCACGCGGGCGAAATGAACGTGTTTGGCCCATCCATTCTGGCGGTTAGTGACACCGAGACAGATCTTTCGAGTAGGTACCTAGTAGTTGTACCCAGGGTCGGTGGTTAGATCGGAAGCGGAAAGTAATCCGGGAGAGCCGGATTGGGGCGGCGGGCGGTTATCATGGATCCTGGATCTTAAGATCCGGCTTGGCGGTATGAGGCTCGAGGCGGTTAATGGCCTCTCAGATTCAGAATTAGGAACTTCGACGTTCTCTTCCGCCCGGTCAGTCACCCCGGAGTCATAGGAAGGGGCATGGGGATCGAATATCGTATCCAGCTGTCCTACGTTGTGTGATGGCCCTTCAATTGTAGTCAGATATACTCATATTATTATCCAGCGGCTATGCTGGTCGGGCAAGGCCATTCCCTGGCTTTCACTTACGAGCTGTGGGAGCGGATTACTCTCAGCACTGGTACCAGTGCATTAATAGATATAGGTGACTGTCTGGTCTGACAGTACATGGTCTGATTACAGTTGAATATCTTACATAATGCATGTAATGATGGTCATCCTACGCGGCCAGATAGATGACTCGGAGGCGGACGGGAGGGGTAGAGGGTTGATTTGTCAGCCGACATGTTTCATCTTGTCGGGGTCATGGACTGGTCTCGGAGCATATTGAATCGCCTCAAACCCCCTGCGCTACAAGATTGAAGTGACAAAAGCGTGAGTGACTGATGATGTATAACGCCATAACGGACCACACGGAACACACGTCTCCTCAAAGGAAGAAAGCGACACCGGCATGCCAAAAATGCCGTGTCCTCAAGGTGAAATGTGTTCAATCCGGAGAGGGACAGCCTTGTACTAAGTGCGCGTCACCCCTTTATCTGGGTATCTATTTCATCAATCTCCGGCTGATCTCAGTAGATGTGCCAGATCAAACTCTCAATGTGTTTTTCCAGCGCCCAGACAGCGACCTCGAGTTTTACAACGAGCGAAACCGTAAGTCTCCCTGGAGATCACTCCAGTCAACAGGTCAGTTCGACTAATAGGGTTGGGGAACGAAGGCGTCTGGTCGATCTTGAGTCCAAACTCACCAATATCATCGGGCTGCTTTCGCGGTCGAAGGGTCCCGTGGCCGAAATGCCATCCCCGCTTGATGAGAATTCCGGACCGCCTGCCATGCCCGAATATCCCGATGACAGGCCGGGCCAAACAGTCGAGTGGATGAGCGAAGCCTTTCTTCCTGATTCTGCAATTGCTGCCGGCCCGAAGTCAAGCGAGGACCAGAATGCCCTAGAATCTCCGCGGGACGCACCCACTGCCATAGACACCGCGTGGATCACCAACACAGGACTCAACCCCGTCGTCCTCGAGCATCTTCTAGACAGATTCCGCGGCATGGCGGCCTATTTTCCATTCGTGCGGCTTCCATGCGTCTGTACCGCTGCATCAATGGCTGAAAGTCGCCCCTTCCTGTTGCTTGCCGCTGTTGGTGTCGCCTCGTCAGATTATTGTCATCTTCAACACGCTCTCATCGGACAGTTCAAGCAATCCCTGAGCGAGCGGGCTATCCTAGCTGGCGAGAAGAATCTAGACCTGCTGCAGGGATTACTTGTCCATCTTGCCTGGTAGGATGTTGGTCCCAGCAGTACCTTCTCTTCTTTTTCGTCCGTGAGGGGCATTAACAGGCTGACTCCCGTCAGGTTCCATTTCTCCTTCATCCCAGGAAGCCAGCAAGCCTACCAGTACCTGCAAATTGCAATCAGCATGGTCATCGATCTGCGACTCGATCAACAGACTGCCGACGTGGTTGAGCAACGGAATGAACTCACCGATGTCTATGCTCGGGATGCATGCCGTGCTTATCTGGGCTGCTATTACATGTCTAGCATGTAGGATGCCATGATCCACCGCGATAGACCATTATAGGCCTAGGCTTACTTTGGTAGAATAGCAATGTCCTCGGGAAAGCCTAACAATCTCCGCTTCCACAAGGACATGCTCCGATGCGCGAAGATGCTGCACCAGGAACCAGAACCGGAATTTGAGACTGACAACTTGCTATATCCGATCACACAGGTATTGCAGTTTAATGAGGACGTGTGCGACACTCATCGGTCAGAAGGAATCTATAGCCCTCGCTTGCACATCCATGCTGAACGATTCACAACGTGGCTAGAAGAATGGTGGTCGTCTCTCTCAACGGACGTTCGCAACAACTGTAGGAAGTTCTTAGGATCTTGTGGCTGCCAGTTTGGCTGACTTGGGATCTGCAGTGTTGCTGATTGACCGCTATTATGCCGTCAAGATTCGCATTGAAGAGATGGGCTTGGTATATTGCTACGGGCAGAGAAGACCCCCATCTCGAATGGCACAGAGAGAGTTGACCATCTTGGCTGCACATCCAATGGTCATCAGTCACTTGACTGATTGTGTGAGTTCTGCCAAAGACTATCTCGATATCTTTTGCGCCCTTCCGGCTGCGGCGCAATGTCGCTTGCCATTTACTACCTGGTATCAGGTTGTTCTGGCGGTCTTTGTGCTCTACAGGCTGTCCGTGGGACTGCCCGAAGTACCGCAGTGGAACGTTGACATCGCACGGCAAACCGTGGATCTACAAGAATGCACCGATCAACTTCTGTCTCATCTGCAGGGTTTCGCGCCTTTGTCGGACCGACAGATACCCACCACGAGTCTCTTTTCGAGGATGCCCGAGATCATGCAAAGTGTAAGAACTTCTTATGCGTTGGCGAAGGAGAATGGCGCACCAGTTCGGGATAGCCGCCATGCGCACCACGACCTCGCGTCTGTGAATCGCACAGCCTCCTCTACTCCAGGGCTGCACCGCTGTCCGGCCGTGCGGTATTCTAGCCGTTCCGTTGCCCCGGAGCTGGATCTACCTACACTGCAGAGCGCGATTGCTGCGGAAGTCCGGAGCATCGAAGATGAAAAGCTATGGGGCGATCTATTCCTGATGGATACACTCTCTAGCATGACAGGTTCATCCTCGATCGGATTGTGACAGGTGATCCATGCTCCAGACGTCCAGTCTGCACGGCTCCGGTTCAGCATCGCACCACCTCAGACCTCATCGGGAAAGACATGGGTGGAGATCTTGTTTCCAGTCGAGTCGTATCGCTGCGGTAGGATGTTGAAGAGTCCGTCGACATCGCGTGGTTCAAAATCCAGCGACAATGCCGCTTCAGTCAGCAGGTCCAGCCCATAAGTCTCTTTGATCCAGTGGGCGACCATGTCCATTCCCGCCACCGCTCCGCTCCCTGTCCAAATGTTGCCGTCCACAATCCACTTCTTCTCCTTGGTCCACTTGACCTTCGGGTATCGCTTCTTGATCCAGTTGTATTCGAGGTTGTTGACGGTGGCCCTGCGGCCGTCTAGAGCGCCGGTGGCGGCCACCACCGCGGCTCCGGTGCACGTCGTAAAGAGTAACTTTCCCGAGGCCGCATGGCGGCGAATGAGGGCCTGTAGCTTCGGTGGAAGCTGGGATTTGGCGGGGATATCCCCCCCGACGATGAGGATATCCAATTCGGGGACCTCGTCCACCGTCACCGTAGGCATGACGGTTATGGCGCTGGTCAGCAGGTGCACCGGCTCCATGGTCGCGCCGATATGGTGGAAGACAAACTCGGGCGCCTTGGCCAGAAGGTCTGGGTCGACCGGGGCGTAGTGATTGATGCCGTCCAGAAGCATCTTACTCGCCGAATTGAGCAGATCGCATGGGCCGATGACGTCGATCGTCTGGTAATCGAAGAGTGGGCAGCCGACGTGGATGGGGGCCATTATGAGAGGAGTGCTGTTGATCTAGTGTGGTCTTGAAGGATGAGTATCAAACGAGTACCTGATGAATATCAAATAGTCTGAAATCAAGCTATTACCCTCAAATAACAATAACAATCCCGTGGGCCATGTTTCCCCGTGCTTAAATACAGCCGCAACACTGCCAGGTTCCGATGCCGGCATCGCGGAGCGGGCGGTTCCAACCGTTCCGTCCGCCGCGGTTGGCCTTCTTGGCACACGGGCAACGGGGGAACTTGATCGACCATGCCCGCGAGTTACACGAGAAAACGGAGATCATTGTCTGAGGTCAAGAATCAATTTAATGCTATAACAAATAATGTATTGGTGATAATGATAAAAGTATGATATGAGGGTGTGGGCTGGTGCAGTCCAGCCCCCTGGTGCATCAGCGCCTCATCCTGTCTGCCCGAGATCCGCAGCCACTGCTGCTTTCAGCAAGAGCTCCAACTGCACCAATTTGGTCTCGGTGTTGAGATATTCCTCCAGGATGGTTTGCAAGTCCATCCGTTCGTCACTGCCCCCGATCGCCGGGCGCGGCCGCTTGCTGCCACGCCCAAAGTCGTGGTCCCAGTTGGGAATCTTGCGGTCTACTTCCGAATGCCACCAGGCCACGTGACAGGTAGAATTGAAGTCACTTTCATCAACAAACGTATCCATTCCCTCGTACGTAAAGAGGTCAAGCTTGACCCCCCTCAACTCTCCGGTCGGCTTCAGTTGCCGATACAGCTGGACTTGTCTGGTGTCAGGCCGCAGGATGTATCCGTACAGCTCGTCCAAGTCCGGGCGCCATTTCTGGAGGGTGGTGAAGGCACGTACAAGGGCGCGCTGACACTCGGCCTTCCAGTGATCCTCGGTCACCGAGCGGGGCTCGTCGGGGGTGGTCCGCCATTTCACTTCAGTCATGAATCCCCCATGGGTGAGCGCGCTCACCAGGGTATAGCAGTGTGCCTTCCAGGCATCCCCGTCGTCCGACCCCTGTGTTGCCTCAAGGGGCTCGACGCCACTCTCGGTGGCATCGACAGTGATGGGAAGAAGTCGAAATCTGCCCATGATGTTGGTCAAATAACTGTGCCACGTGTAGCTAATGTTGCTGGCTTTGTTTCTGGGACGTATTGTCGGGGGTGTGGTTCATTGAATGGGCTCCAGTTGGGGAACGGTATACATACTTATATCCCAGCAATCGTGAGGACCTTGGTTCACTCACTCTGGAACAAGTGAATGCGTTCATTATAGCCTACGGCAACCATTGGTCTGGCGGAGAGCAAGAACTGGAGATTTTACTTACGTTGTGTTGTCGTACCCTTGTCATCCGTCGCCGTGGGAAATTGTTCAAAGAGAATGCTTATCCAATCTCCTCGTGGGGCTATGCTAGTGAATTATGAACAAAGGTCCGAACAAGGGCTTTGTCTTTGCTATCTTTGCCACGACTGGTTGCCCCTTGCGATCAACTATACATATACCCCTGGGTGTAGCCGGTGAAAGCTAGTAGTAGCATCTCCACACATCGATCCAAACACAACCACTACACGAAAGATGGCAACGAATACTCAAGAAAGCGCACTTTATATCCTGCCAGAGGAATCTGCGCCAAATGCCCTACCTAGTAGCTATACTGTGGATCATGATGGCTGGTGCACGATTACGAGCAATGCGGAAGGTAAGAAGGCAGGGTTTGGTTTTGATTATCGTGTTGATGGCGATATCTCGAAATGCATGATGGCACTCGATGACGGACCATGTGGCCGGACTTTTTCCCGTCTGGGTGATCTGAACATTCACCAGCACGGACATCTGAATGCAATCATGGGCAACCTGAAAGCGGAAGATAAACAGACAAGACCCAATGGGCTTCCTCTGAGCTATCGTTTGGATGATCATGGTTGGAGATGCATGATCGAGGTCCATGGCGGACCATGTGGCCGAGTATATTCAGGGCTGTATCATTTGGAACAACACCATCGCCGAGAACATGAATATGAATGTTACTTCTGCCCCAACTGCCACAAGATGCTCTCTAGTCCGGGCGCCGTCAGACGGCATATGAAAAATGCCTGCCGCTCGACACCGCGTGACTTGATGCATTCGCAGACGCAAAAGACACATAAAGCATGAGATCAGAGGAAACAAGGTTTGTGAATATGGTATCACCTTGCCTAGAAAGCTAATTACACGGCCAGGGCTCTCAAGCAGTCGAAAAGTGCTCCCTTAACGCGCTGAGTGAAGGAGTAAAGAAATACTCACCGCCCCTTTGGTCCACCCAGGGGCTAATACCCAGATTCAATTTCACCGTCTTGTCGGGGTTTTCTCCATCATACAGACTGATGTGGCCCTCGGGATGATCCTTGCGAAGCCTCTGGTTGACAAAGGGGTCCATGCCCGGCCCATCGGGGAAGGTCTTGGTCTTGTACTCGGGGAAGGAGGCGTTGCTCGCCCAGCCTGGCTCGTGTCAGTATTCCGTAGTTCCATCGTAGCCCTAATGTCAACCAACGTACGAGTCATAAGGAAATTGAATCCATCCCGGATCAGGCTCTGATAGCAGGTAAAGTAAATGCCCCGGTGCTCGATGGTCTTTCGCAGCCGCTTCTCCTCTTCGGTCAGTTCCGGACCAAAGGTAATGCCTCGTCGAAGAATGACGCTGGCATCCTCTTCCTGTCCCTCGGCCTCTTCTTCATCGCTGTCGGGCTCGGGCAGTGCGGTCTCGTCCCCGTCTTCTTCGGTCCCCACGTCGCGTTTCTTATCGGATCGAGGGCGCATCTTGCGGATGTGCGCTGCGAATGGACAGCTCTTGATGCTCTTTTTAGGTCGGAAGTCGAACGTGTTGTTGAAGGCCAACTCGGGCTTATCCTCGTCGTAAGCGTGCACCACGGGAGCGCCTATGCTTGATCAGCCTGCGTTCGTCAAGAGAATAGGAATCGAGATTCGCCGGGTTCGTACCACTCTTCCAGCGACCCATCAAGTGAGCTCCCAGCTTGGCCGGACCATTCGGCCCTGCGTAGTTGGTGCCCGGAATCTGAGACGCTTTCTCCTCGAGGAACTTCTCAAACTCGGGGACCTTCTGGTCTAACTGCCGGAAGACCAGAAAACTGCCCTCCTTGGCCCAGGCCGGGCCTCGCTTCTTGTTGGGATCTCCCTCAAACCCGAGGAAGATGTATCCCGGAGGACAGGCATGAGGCTCCCCCGGGGCAGGGGCCGGGTCCAGCCCTCGGATCTTAGGCTGCGAGATGTGGTCTTCGTAGCCAAAGCTGCGAATAGGAGGTAAGTTAGTCTCCGATGGTCATGTAATTGAGGTTTCTCCGGAGCACACGTACTGTTCCTTGCCCCGGTTTGCCCCCGGTCGGGTTTGACCATCGCGTCGGAAGGCGATCTTCATACTGTTCTCATTTGCATCACCCACGTAGAAGGCATCCTCGACGTCCACGATCTTCCGGCGCAGAGCCTTGGCACTGTGCGCCGCCACAATGAAGACGCCATCGACGCGCCAGTCCCACCGTTGCAGAAGGTCTTCCTTGGCCAGATTAGCCTCCGGGGCTCGGAAGTCAGGATGCAGCGCGGGGGGGCTATCGGCGCCCTCGTAGACCAGGTCATCGAACATGCCCTTTTCGAAAAGACCCTCATTGATCCGGTCCCGGCAATACTCGTCGGGGTCTTCCTGTTGGACCTTGACAAACTCGACCTCCACCTCGGGCCTTTCGACCTAGAACACGAAAACCGGGCGTTAGAGTCCGGAAGGAAAGAACAGGGAGCGACGGGGGGCGTAGAGGCCATCACCAACCTTCAGCAGACCCAGATGGGTGAAGGCCACATTCACCGCGGTGAAGGGCACCCGATAGGGCTCGGGAACATCGCGTCGGGCTTGCGCGGATGCCTCTTCGAACTCTCCCACTCCACGAAGGTGGTCCGCGCATTGCGTGCCGGTGGTGATTTCATTGTTGTCCAGCAGGGTCCGCAGGTGTTTGCGGAACTTGCCCTTGTCGGTGATTTTGAAAAACAAGTAGGATTCAAAGTGCTTGGGCAGCCGGGGCCAGATGCTCCCCTGGATGTTGTCAGTGTTGACCTTCTCTGGGGCACGCATCTTGATGATGGTCTGTCTCTGGGTAGTTGGGAAGAGGAGCAGACCCGCCCAGAAGAACCTTTTATGTCCGCCGCTCTAGCTGACAAGAGACCACAGCCCTTGACTCTTGGTTACGTCGATCGCAGCAGAGCTGATGGCGCACATCCGGTGGCTCTGATGGTGACCTCTCATGACCCCTCCATTGGCAATGCAGTCATCGTCATACCCCTCAGCTGAAAAAAAAGATGCGCCATAATCAAGTGAACGATGATTTGTAGATGGCAGGGTGTTCTGCAGCCCCGAGCCCCACAGGCAAAACTGATCTATCGAAGTGGTAGATGTCGATCCCTCCACTTTGCTGCGGTGACGAACTGTCGATCGCGTCGCTTGGACGCCGACTGCGTCATTTGTTGAGCGGAGCTGAACTGTGGGGCAGGTTGAGGGTGAGATCGTCTGCTGCTGCATGCGATGATGCTGGTTGGGAAATGTGTCAACTCGATGGACGGTTCTTGCCTTGCCTACTACCCCCAATGCACTACCAACCGGGTACTATACGAAGACTACTTACTGTACGTACCTGTATACATACTCAAGTACATATAGTACAGTACATTCTCAACCATGGCCCGGCCTGATGGACCGAACCGCCCGCTCGGGCAGGCTTGGCAAGATCCACTTCCTCAGCCAAGGCAGATCCAGGCAGGTTTGCCGAATGCCTGCCGAATGCCTGCAACTACACCTTCCGGGGCATTTCTCAGCACAGCTGGAACACCATCTCGATCCGGCTATCGACTTGGCGCTCACAACCGGAAATCATCTCCAACCAGCGTCACATCACAGTCGATCTCTGCCTCGACCTGCCTCGACTGCCTCGAAATGGCCTCGGTGGCGAGCTGAACCCCCACTGGCACCGCTAGAACCACTGACAAGTACAGCCACTGACCGCATTCCCGCCATTCTGGCTAAATCGACAAGTGGTTCTCGACCGAGTATATATTTATAACATGGTCTTCTCCTCTGCAGTTCCTCCCAGTCCACCACATCATTCATTCCGTCTGTTTGAGTCAACATGAAGTTCCGGTTGGTGGCGGGCCTCCTGCTGGGAGCAGTCGCCGTCGAGGCCTTCATGCCCCCTGAATATGCCTATGAGTCCTCCCAGGCGGACGAGATTGAAATTGCCAAGCAGTCCACGGGAATCGTCAAGTATCAATCGCCGCCGGCGGACTCATACCTCATCCCCAAGACCAATTCCGATGATGCCTCCCAGAACTGGGAGGTAGAGTGTTCCAGCCAGAACAAGGCCCACAACTGCGAGTATGCCATCGACGACCGCACCGACCGCTACTGGAGCAGCAGTCCCGACGAGCAAGAGCCCTCCTGGATCCGCATTGACCTGCGGAAGGAGCATTATGTCTCGGGCGTGACCATGCTGCCTCGCCTGGAAGCCGAAGAGGGCCAGATTGGCGAGCACCGCATCCTGCTGTCGCCCGATGGGAACAACTGGACCGAGGTCGCCTACGGCACCTGGGGGTCTAACAAGAGCCCCAAGATGTCCGCCTTTATCCCGACCCCCGCTCGCTTTGTCAAACTGGTGGCGGAGACCGAGTCGCACCCCCGCAGTCAGACGAGAAACGGACAGATCTCCATCTCCAACATGGCCGTCTACGCCTACATCGAGGGCACTTTCCCCGAGGCCGACCCCAGCACGGGTGGTGTCTGGGGCCCCACGCTGGATCTTCCCATTGTCCCCGTCTCGTCCGCCGTCGAGCAGCATGGGAATATCATCATGTGGTCAGCCTGGGCCGACGATCAGTTCTTCGCCTCCCCCGGGGGCAAGACGCTGACCACCACCATGAACCGCAGCGGCATCATCACGCAGAGTGAAGTCTTCGAGACCAAGCACGATATGTTCTGCCCCGGCACCTCGATGGACCTCGACGGCAACATCGTGGTCAGCGGAGGCGCCGACTCGGGTCGCACCAGCGTGTACAATGGCACCGCCTGGAACAAGGGCCCTGCCATGCAGACCCCCCGTGGCTACCAGTCGTCCACCACCCTGTCCGACGGTCGCATCTTCGTTATCGGAGGGTCCTGGAGTGGCGGCGACAAGATCGAGAAGAACGGCGAGGTCTACTACCCCGGACCCAACGCGCACTGGGAGACGCGCAGCAACGCCAAGGTCGAGCCCATGATGACCGATGATCGTCTGGGAGCCTGGCGTGCCGACAACCACGGCTGGCTGTTTGGCTGGAAGAAGGCTAGCGTTTTCCAAGCGGGGCCCAGCAAGATGATGCACTGGTACAACGTGGACGACACGGATCGCAAGGGCCGCGTCCGGGGCTCGTGGGAAGAGGCCGGTGAGCGTGGCCAGGACCACGACTCCATGTCGGGCAGCGCCGTCATGTACGATGCGACGCGAGGAAAGATCCTGACCTTCGGCGGTCAACGTCACTATGACGGCTCCAACGGCTCCAAGAACGCCCACCTCATCACCCTGGGCGATGCCTACAAGGACCCGGAGGTGGTGGTCGCGGGCAAGGGTCCCAGGGGAGACGGCGAAGGGGGCATGCACTACAAACGTGTCTTCCACACCTCGGTGGTCTTGCCCGATGGCACCGTCTTCATTGCCGGAGGGCAGAGCTGGGGCAAGCCCTTCCACGAGGGCGACATCAACTTCACCCCGGAGCTCTACGACCCTGCCACCGACACCTTCCACGAGTTGACCCGCAACAACATCAAGCGCGTCTATCACAGTATCTCCATGCTGCTGCCCGACGCGACGGTTCTGAACGGCGGCGGTGGGCTGTGTGGTAACTGCACGGCCAACCACTACGACGCCGAGATCTACTCGCCTCCCTACCTGTTCGACGAGAACGGCAACCCAGCTCGTCGGCCGCAGATCACCAGCATCTCCGACGGACACCGCGTCACCGTCGGCGAACAGATCCGATTCAAGACCGACGACTTCATCGAGACCGCCTCCCTGGTTCGTGTCGGAACCACCACCCACACGGTCAACACCGACCAGCGTCGCATTCCTCTCGACACCCTCAAGCGCGTGGGTCATCTGCAATACAGCGCTCGTCTTCCCGAGGATCCTGGTGTCATCCTGCCGGGATGGTACATGCTGTTTGCCATGGATGCCAAGGGCACTCCCAGCGTGGCCAAGATGGTCAAGGTTGAGCTGCCCTCGCCTCCCGAGTACGTGTCCAACTTGGAGGATTCGGAGGCGGAGGAAACGCACGTCAGCCACGGTCATGTCGGAGTGACGGCGGACTGCGCCGAGGATGACGAGGTGATGGGTGTCATCGCCATCATGTTTGCTTCCGCTAGCAAGTTCTGGAAGAACTGGAAGGTTGCGCTCGTCTCGCAGGCTTAGCTAGCAAATTTTCATGGTTTCTTCGGTTAGCAAGGTTGTGTTGTGTAATGAAAGCTTCATTTTGTTCTATATTAGCCTTTTATGTAGATTCGCATGGGGGCATCTCTAACGGGCCACCGTGAGAACGACGGAAATGCGGGTCACATGGACGCCATCTACGGAGGCATCAGTGATTGACTCGGAAGAGCAGCATATGCTCCAGCCGATGGTGCATTCGGAGGGTGCGCTCACTGAAGAACCGCCGCCTACAAACGACTCCCCCAGTTTCATACATGCAAATCCACACTCCAGTAGTCTCCTGATGATAGCAATAGTCGTGAAGATGCGCCGGACCGTGGTGGACGGCTTCGAGGGGATCACTGGGATGACTGCCGATTTTCCACCCCGAGCCACAAGCCGGACATCCGAAGGCGAGGGACTGCTCTGCCATCAACCGACCAATGCACTGGGTATGCCAGGTGCGTTGGCAGCTCCTTTGCCAGCACTGCCAGAATCGTGCCCGCGGATTGGGGTGGTGGTGAGCCCGACATAGTCCGCAGGTGACCAAGGGGTACGCTTCATCCTCTAGCGACACCATCACCACCGGCTTCTCCCGCTCTCTGCGTTGTTCGGGAGAAAGAGAAGTCAGATGGAGAAGCCTAGGATGAACAGTGAAAGACATCTTTGTGGATGTAAGGGAGATGGGAGAACAATGCCTTGTTTGTCTTGGAACAAAGCAGTGGATTTATATCTTTCACGCGACCGGGGATTCGCGGGCTACAAACAAAGAGGGAGGCCATTGTTCGACCACACTGCGTCTGGCAGAGCCCTAGCATGGACTGGAGGACTCCCCTTGTCTTTCTGTCAGGGAAGCAGGTCGTGTGCTGGGTGAATCCATCGATTGACGCACGATTCTTAGTCCATCCCGGCTCTTTGACAGTTCTTTCAGGACGTTTCTTTAAGACCCTATTTGTAAAAGCTTTCAACGGATTAAACACAAGGCAATCCTTAGAGCTCTATAGAGTCAACGACAGAGGTCCCAGAGGTCCCATAGATGGGTATATAATCCTGTCGAATACCCCGTCTGAATCAACTATCTTCACACTCTCAGCTCTCAATCCACCTTCACAACAGCGCCCTCAAACACAGAACCAACACGTTCAGCGACACCACCACCATCATGTCTTCTCAACCTGGCTTCCATATCAACCGGCTTCATCGCTCCAGGGATTCAAAACCTGATTTTGATCAGACAGAATGGGGCGTGGCTGACTGTCGTGGCGGCAAGTATCACGCAGATTGTCGAATCATTCTGCTCGTTCTCAACCCTCGGACAGTTGGCGACAACTGGAAGCTCATCGGCGAGCGTCTCGCCAGCCTTGCGATAAAGCGGAAGCGCCAGAAATGCAAAGCCGACAAGTGCTATACTGGACCATATGGGGTAGTTGTCGAGTGTGAAGACCAAGACTCCCAGTTCTACATCGAGACCTCGGACTCAGCCGAGGCCGATGCGCCTACCTTGACTCGGTGGATCTGTGACGATCCTCCTACGAAACCTAGCCCTTTGCCAGAGTTCTACTACCCTTTCATTCGCAGGATGTACTCGGATAACCAGGGTAACCCTCCAGAACATGAGTTGGTGAGACGGGCCGGGATGCAGATCTTCGATATTTACTGCTTCGAGCTTACCCACAAGCCCTTCTTAGGATTCGAGGTCTTCTACAAGGATCACTGTGGAGTCGAGAGCCTTATAGGAGAATCTGGTACCCCTTAATTAGAATATCCACTACCTTATTTCAATGATACTGAACCTCTGATGCATGTTCTTATCTTTAAAATCCACATGTCCAGATCACATTTATTACACTCTGGACTCTGCTACTTTGTGTGTACAGTGCAACCCTATTGTGCCTGCACCTTTCATTCATTCAACTTGCTCCTTTCTGTTACCCTTTGCTGCATAATCAATGAAGGAAGTTGGCTGGAATCCGAGACTGACTTTGTGAATGGCCATGTTCTTTGAGTATCTCATGTACCTGCCTTTATGAGATAGCCTGAAAGCCAATCTGCCGCAAAGAAAAGGTAATTGTATCATGGACTATCTACGTGCATTCTACATGTATTCTCATTTTTCAAGACCACCACCATAAGCCTCCACTGCTGGGTATAAGTACTACAACCATCTTTGTGCTGGACACATTTAGCTTCAAGCCATCAAGCCATCTCTACAACATCATCCTAGAGTACAGTCTAGAATCAACCCTCATCAAAACACCACAGCCATAATGGGTAAACTCACAAACCAGGCCTTGACCCAATCTAAAGATATACCATACGGGGTGCCCTATTTCGATCCAATGCAATGCGGGGCGGTCCAATACACCTTCGGTCGGATTATCGTCGTCCGCCTAAACCCCAGGCGTGTGGGCAAGACTGGGAGATGACCAGCCAGAAGATCACCTCTGCTGCTTGGCAAAAGAAGCGCGAACGAGTTATCATCGACGCAAATCGCACTGGCCGGCCGAGGTCATCTGCGGAGGCTACTTATCTGGGGCCTTATGGAGCGATGGTCCGGTGTGATAACTAGCTCGGCTTCTATTTCGGGGCCCAGGCGACTTGACTCTGACTCCTTTCCCTTTGAAAGGCACTGATGGCTCGGGCTTTCACCGGTTCCCCAATTGTGGCCCTTACGAGCATAAAACGTCCTTCTCCGGAAGATGCATGCCACCGATGCTACCGATAATTGTGCGCATTGTGTGCCAGTGTCGGACTTGGACCTTGAATCACGGTTCATGATGCAAATCGTCGCATCTGACGACCTGGTAGGGTGCAAGCCCTTTGATAGTGACTGGCTGGTGGCCTACAAGAGACAGGATGGAACAATCCGCCTGACCTCAAAACACCATCCTTGAAAACCTAGTAGCCCTGACTTGCAGTTGATTAGTCTTTTGATTTAATATCATTCAATCTTCTGATCTTTGTTCCACGCCGTTATTCTCCGAAGATGACTGTAGCTGTTCTTCCTCTTTCTGGCGTTTTTCTTCTATTATATTGTTCAATTCGGGTATTTTCAATTCGTTGCTGGGGAGAACGAGGACGCGCTCCAAGATTCCATTCTCCTCTAATGGGACGTAAAATAATTCTTTCACTTACCTCCCGAGCTGACCCATAACAAAGAATGAGAGCTTCAAGGTCTCTTGTCTCTCTGGATCCCGAAATGCTGCACCCTGGCGCTTGGCTATAAATACTACCCCAATCACCCGGTTAGGCCATCATCTGCTCCAGAGGAACAAGCCCTTTCATTTATAGAACCTTAAGAGCTAGACTTTGATCTCAGATCCACAAAAGATTCGAAACTTCCAGACACTCGTGGAGATGCCTCAACTAAGTGATACACAACTTGGGGTAGCCAGCGTAGGGCTGGAGACGGATCGGATGGTACTCATCTTTCTCAAACCCGAGACCTGTGGCGAGGATTGGGAGGCAGTCGCCCAGGAGCTGACCCGTGCAGCGTGGAAAAAGAAGCGTGAGGATCCATTGGCGCCCCCTGAGCCGTATGGTGCGAAGGTTTTCTGGGGAAATCATAAAGTCGGGTTCTACTACGAAACCCCGGTGGATGATCATCCCGAAGAAGATGTCCCCAGCGGCTCCGGAGCTTTTGCCCTAGCCCCCTTCGTCCTCCCTAATAGTCATGTCTACTATGACCAGAGCGACCCTGATGACTTGTTTCATGAGAAGCTGTTTCTCGGCAGATTAATGGTGGGCCAGGCTGACAATCAAATCGTGGATGCGCAGCAGAGCTTGTGGTCCCAATTGCTAATGCTCGAGGAGTGGCTCCAAGAGGGCTGCGAGAGCTCTCCCAACTCTATCCTGGTGTTCGAAGCTTAGCCAGACTCAGGATGGACTTACTTGCGCCGGTTCATCAATGAACATCGCGATTTTTTAAACAATTCACGTATCTTTCCAATTGTCGATCCGATCTCAGACATTCCAATTTCTCTTGTCTTCTCTTTCCTTCAGCGACATACTCCAGGATCTCTTCCGCCTCCGGGGACGGAGCTCCTCTCCAATTCTGTCCCGGTTGCTCCGTCGGTCCTCCGCCTCTTTCTTCTACTTATGCTGTCCCTCACATCCTTGGTGACGATTAAGCCTTGTTCCCTGGACACCCTGCCTCCCAGACCCCCGCTGAAGAACCCTGTCAGTCTTTGCTCGGATGCCCCATGGGATAAGCACGAAAAGGTCCGCTTGGAGAAGAGATCATCGAGTTTAATTCAGTTAAAACTAAAGGCTAGTATGAAAAGGTTGAGCCGAGTATTTCCTAATCAGGACAGCATGTATTTTTCAAAGCGAATGACAGCCCTCTTCAATCTTCGGTCGGAACAATCACATGCCCACTTCTGCCTCTTTACTGCCATTCAGCTAAGCGACTCGCCTTCAATCATGACTCGGGCAGGAACAGCAATGGGACAAGTCCTGGTTCAAGCAATGTTGCATGATGTTCGGAGCTAGGATACAGAGAATTTAGGCTGTGAACCACTGTCAACATGCGAGTTTTCGAAAGAAGATGGCCCAAGCGGAACGGCTTCCAGTATTGTCCCAACATGCGTCTGGAGATACCCATGCCCCCTGCTTCGAATATCCAGCACGGCGCCCAAGAAAGGCAAAGGCGTGGACTTAAACGGCGATTCAACCGGCCATTCCGTTCTTGCTTGCGGGGTGACAAAGCCCTCAACACTCACTTCCTTAGCTGGCACATCGCGAGACCGTTCGGTCACTAGCCCCAAGAAAGCACGGAACGTTTTGTATGCCAGGTAGGACTCGAAATACAAATTCCCGGCGAAAAGTGCCAAATCTTGTAATGTATTTGTATGGCTTCGATGGCTGACAAAACAGGCACCTATGGTAAGAAAGTCCAATCCTTCAAAGGCTCGCATTGTCTTCGACCGCCGGGGGGCGTAGAGGTGTAATTTCGTCTTCCAAGAACGACGGATGTCGTCCAAAAGCTCATTTGCTTCATACTGACTCAAGATCAGCAAGTTCGAGTTGTGTGCGTTTGACAGAATCCAGTGCGCATGTTTGAGGAAGTTCTCATCAACGTTGTTGGCAATATGTGTGACGGTACGAATATGATCCTTGGTTGCATAAAGTAATGGGCATAAACCTCCAGGAAACTTGAAACGTCCGGCTGAAGTATGATGGAAAATGCGGAATGCGGGCTCGACCTCAGACACACGGCCGCCGGGGAAGGCTCCATGGGTGACGAAGTACCGAATGTCGGGATGGACATAATGACACGCGGGTGGTACTTTGGGAGGACGAAAGACCTGCTGTTCTCGTTCAACCTCAGGGCTAATCTCTCGTTCCTGCTCCTCATGTAGCAGGGCTTTCTGTTGGTCCTCGCCGACGCGCAACAGTAGGCTCTGGACCATAGGGTCAGATTTATCAAGATAGTCTACCAGATTATTGTGTCTTGGTGTGCACCAAGAAGCGTATAGTTCCGACAAACTTTGGGCCTCGGGCTCTTGAATGACCTGAATCATTTCGTGCAACGTCCGGCCTTCCGATGAAAGTCTGTCCCAAGCGGAGACGCGCCCATGATATTGTAGACCTTGTGAAGCCCACAAGGGACCCAGAGTGTCCAATGCATCAGCTGTCTGGTTGAGGGCCCATTGGATCACATCCACCGACTTGACTGGGTTTCCTGCTGCGCCTACACTATGACTGACCTCCGGGGGTATGATGAACACCACCGACTGTCCATTCCCTAATTTGCGCATCCCGTTACATGCTATGTGTCACACAAGGCCAGCTAAGTAACGTAGCCTATGAGACGTGGATCATTTTATTTACCTTGTACCAGTCGGGCATTGGTCAACCGTGGACCCAAAGTGACAGCAGCTCGGTAATTCGATGGAAGCTTGAGGTCAACACCTCGGGAATGCTATTGATCCAAGAACACCAGGCACCGCTCCATCCTTTGATAAAAGGCCGATGACAGAAGCCTCTCGACATGCCCCTCCCGGTTAATAACAACTGATTCGTCATTGTCATCAAAGTAGATCGCTGCATCCGCATCATCTGTTGAGGTTTGTGAAAGCTATTACTTAGCAACGCTTTCGTTTGTGAGCTCCAGTATCTGTGTACCCACGTCAATAATAACACGGATTGGCTGCTTCTGGTTACTAATAAGATAAATCAGCTCCTCTGCTCGCAACTGCTGGCCATGCTGAGATTACACTTAAATACACTCCCGATTCTCCGGGCGTAAGAGAATCTCAAGCACCATGGCATTAATGTGTAGCAGATGCGGCAGATCACGCTGAGGGGCTGAAGCAGGAAGCAGTGTTTGATTTTTATTTATTCCACTGAACCCTGTGGTTCGTGGTTGATGGGGCCTGGAGGACAAATCCCGCGCTAAAGTGCTGAGTTTAAATAGGAACTCCTTAGCTTCTTTGGGGAAGGCAACCCGAGACAAGTAGAAGTTAAGAATTACCTTCTGATACTGGACATACAAATAGAAGATCTTATGCAGTGTCTTAGTATCATCCAAGTTTACCCCCGTAAGCGAACGTAAACCCTCGGGCAGGGCTGACTCGTCACGGGTTATCTACTTTAAGTACTCGGCGCCAGGATCGTTTTTCTTAACCAGAAGCTGAAAGTACTGTTTTACTTGTTTCATAGAGAGACCAGAGTAATAATAGCTCAGGCACGTCAAAGTCACGGCCACATCTGGATGCCCAAACTCAGCATATTCCGATGGCACTCCCTTGGCTCTGAAAGGCACAGCCATCATATATTTCGAGGAATAAAGACCGTAATCAACGTTCCAGCGTTTCGCTGATAAAGCGAACTGGAGAATACTATAAGCTAGGAGTCCGCGTAGCAAAAGCAACCTGTTTATAATCACACCTTCCCTAAATATGCCTCGGAGAGTCCTTTCGTCTTGGGAAGTTATTAAAGTGGCAGAGACAAACCTGCATGCGCTCTCATAGATATCCTGCGGCCAACAGTGAAGAGGAAGGCCGGGAAGACCATCTCTAAACAGGGTCTGCAATATCAACTCAATGACAATCTCGACAGTCCCCGGTTTTAGAAAATGAACTATCGGGTAGCGGACACTGCACCGCTCCAGGTCTAAAAGGGTCGGAGCTCGAGAGTGCAGTGCGCTCACCTGATCCTCAACCAGTATGAGTAAGCTCTGGGCCATCTGCCACCTATTGCTACTGCCGTCAAGGCACTGCTGAGTTCCCATAGTATAAACTAGTTGGAACTTCGGATCCAGAATCTCATCACTCTCGTCGATAACGTTACGGCAGGCCTGCTGGATAAATCCCTCAAGCTGAATGGCTTCTTGCGCCAAGGCCAAGTCTCTGCTCACTAGATCTAAGCCCACCAGACGAAACAACAAAATATGCTCGGACAGGGTGAGTAGAATGCCCCGAGACTGTTTGCACTCATCGTAAATGGTTCTCAGATTTCGGATCATTACCTTATGGATAGACGTCTCACGGAAGAACGGTATCTGGTAGACTGGTCGACCCAAGATTCCACCCAACTGCTGCGTTGGCAGGTTCCAGCTCTGTCGCAAGAGTGGCTTGGGAACAATAATACGAGGGATTTCTGAGCCATCTGCCAGACACAGCGCAGCCATTAGTGTAATGACCGTGGTCTTCCCTTCTCCTATGTTGAGCTGCATGACCGCGTTTCCCGGAGGATCAGGTTGGGTCAGGCGCTGGGCAATGTCCGCTTGTTGGCCTCGGATTGTTATGTGGTTTTCGAGTTCGAATAGTAGCCATTCAGGATGTGCTACAGGGTCCCAGTTCTCACATCGGGACACCTCAGCTTCTTTGTAAAATCCTTCAACATCATGATGATCCCAGCATACCAACATTCGTTCACATCGCTGAAGCGAGGCAATGCTTTGAGCAAGACAAAGCAGGATGCTCTGCCATGACTGTGGCACCGACTTCCAGTGCTTCACTACCAGAAGCGAAAGCATCGTGAAGGGTGTGACTGCTGGTCAAAGAATAGATTGTGCCACGGCCTCACAGAGGTCTTTGGTGGTTGACAGTGTCTCCTTGATTGCTGCCCAGCAACCGTCGCACTGTTGCACCAAATCCCTCCGATGCGAATCCAGCACCTCCCTTGACACCAGTAGCGACTCCGGTAAGATGGCAGTTTCTCGCTTCACCATAGCTTCAAAGCTCTCACGTAACCTCACCCCCATTTCATTTCGAGTGTGGCTCTGAGAGTCATGTAGCTCCTCGATGACATTGCGAAGCTCAAGTGTGCTACTGTCACTGTGATGATTATCTATCCGTGGTCTGGAGAACTGGATAGATGCTCTCAATGATTGTGCTGAGGGCGGCAAACAGGATCGTACTCTAACAAGTAGCGAAGGAAGCCTGAATGCAGGGCTGGTTGCAGAAACAGGGTGCGGTGGTTCCGAGGGCAGCTGCGAGGGAGCTCTTGCGACTCCGCCGTGGGAGTTGAGTCAATCTTGAACTCGGCGAAGAAAGTTGAGAAAGATGCGATTGTGGTTCCACGTTCTGCAGAGACGGGCACACGCTGCAGAGGCGAGTGAATGATCCATGTGTGCTACCCAAGGCAATTTCGGTCTATCGCATGGCCACTGATCCTCTACTTTCTGCAAGCATTCTTGGACCCCATGGTCTATCTCCTTGTAATTGGGTTCTTTCCCTGTCAACTTCTGCCCACGAATCTCGCCACCTCCGCTCGGGCGCTTCGAATGATTCGCAATTCTCTCTGAGTACAAGCTTTATCCCCCGTGCAAGGAAGTTTTCACCGCGTCCTAGAGGAAGCTTATCGGATTCATCTGCAGGAAAGATCGGTGCTGCGATATCGGAGAATCGGTTGGAGAAGGCGATCGCAAGCAATGGGATGATGTTTGTTAGTTGGGGCGTCTTCTGAAAGGCAATCATGGAAAATAACGACATCAGATTATAGGCGTCGTTTTCCTTATTTGTCGAGCGACAGTACTCATAGATTGCACCCCATGTATCTGGAAACGACAACTGCAGAAGCTGAGTACATGTATAGTCCTTGAGAGGGAGAGGCCCGATCTGGACATGGCCCCAGCCGGACACCGTTGAGTAAAGGTCCGGGCAGTGAAGGCCATGCGACGACCAGTCTCGAACCAGAGAAGCGACTTCATACACACGACCGCTTCGATCACTTCCGCTTCCCCGGTCACGGGACGCATAATGTAACGACGGTGGCGGCGCAGGTTTCCGGGGGGGATCAGGCGATAAAGAGCCCCTCCATGCCCAGCCTGAATAATGAGCTCTCCGGCTTCAATCATGAAGTGAACCTCAGAGACTTCGTAAGCTATGATTCGTGGTTGCATGTTGAAAGCTTACCTGAAAGTCACCGAATTTGCGGACCGACATGAACCTGAAGCCAACCAGACTGGATGGAAGGACTTTTAGGACTCGCTAAATTGGGTCTTCAGTTCACTGTCGTTTCAAGCAGCAACTAGTCAAGTTTCATTCTCGGTACTCACCGATCCGAAGATGTGTCTATACAACGAGGTGTTACTGTACTCGTCTGGAAGACGACCAGGTGGGCTGTTGTCAACCAAGAGCTCTCCGGTTAGGAGATCATAATGCACCTGGTGCTGCTTTTGCTCTCCATCGATGCAGGTATAGTTCACAGCCCATCTTGTTGAGCTTCCCAGACCGAACGTCCAAGGGCCGGTAATTGTGATCGTCGGCACGCTTTTGTGAATTGCACTGGTGAGACCCGAAGGGTCCTGGGTGATCAAAGTACGGCTGCGCTCCTCAGCCTCATAGAGGGTTCGCATTGTCTGAATCCACGCCTGAGACTTACTTCTTTCGCCTGAAGGTGTGTTGTCAAACACGAGAATGCAGGAGCGAGTGAGATAGAAAATATCCTCTGCGGTTTGCAGCACGAAGCACAGGTGTCGTGGCTTCAAAGCGTAGGTCAGCTGGCAAACTTGTCCAATTTGGCTGAGTAATGACTGATGCGTGTGGATCCCGGAGCCAGTTTGAAGATCCAGGCTTGCGTTGAGATCTTCAGCCTATGTTATCGCAACCTTTCGGCAACCACGTAAGAAGCTGGCCGCCTGATCCAATGTTTGACCCTCAGCAGAGAGGCTTAGCGCTCGAAGCGCAAGTATGACCAAGGTCTGGAGATGGTTTTACTTGTTCCAATTCCCTTCAATCGATCAAAGCTGTTGTCCTAGAGTCTCCAACAGTCGATTCCTGAAGTCTCGGTCACTGAAGACTCGGTGAGCCTCTCTCAAGTCTGTACTTGCACTCCAGGTGCCCAGCTCCCACGCTGCCTGACGAAATAGAAGCCCAACCGACGGACTATCCATGGAGAGATCACACGATGCAAGCTCACGGACTATACTGTACCATTGCACACGCTCGCCTGCCCGGAGACGACCAAAGGCAACAAATTCATGCAGGCTCAGGGCGCTGTGACATATCTGTTGGTCGGCCAAGACCTTGTTCTCGGAATGATTGGACGATTCCAATGCATATTGAAGATTGGAATAGACATCTTCTGTCAAGCGCAAAGTGCATAGACGCTTCACAGCAGACGCCTCTGTTTGGTCGGTGATCCAGATACCCGAACCTTTATCTAGCAGCTTGAACCGAAGCCCGTTTGGCAGTGCTACTTCGTTAAATCTCGCGGGAAAGCTTCTCCCGTTGTAGTGTGTGCGTAGAAATGACTTTGCAGTAGAGCCCATGGTCAGGCGTTGACCCAAGTCTGTGATAAAGGGTCGTGTTTCGCTGTATCGGAGAATATCTTCCTCCACACCTACGCCTGCGCTGAACCCGGATCTACCAAGATCTTGTGTCATTTTCCACGTTACGTCACGCCATGCGGCGAGCCAACGAGGGCAGTCTATCTCGAAGACCACAGCTTTCACAGTTGTTTCATTCTCGGGAAGCGGCCATTCATGGATGTTGATAGTTATACCAGCGGCTTGCCTTTCCAGCGAACATTTTTTGCAACCAATACTGTGTCTTCGATAACCATCGTAGGACCAATAAAATTCGCACCCGAGTCTCCGGGCTTCTCTAAGCAGATTGCTGTGTTTCGCCGACCTTTCCGACCATTCTTCCCTTTTTTTCTCGACCTGACGTCGAGCGTGCTCTTCGATCCGTGACCGCAGCTGCTGGTGCTTTTGAGAAGCATCACAGTAGCGCGCCCCAAAGCATTGAGGCATCGGATCCTGGAGAATACTAGGGTATCGACCTGTATCTCTGTGTCTGTTTCGAATGTAGTCCTCGACTTTGTAAGCCCTCTCCATTTGCGAACGTTGTGGTAAGAGCAGTGGCTCGAGGAAATTCGGCGGTATCTCTGGAGAGTAGTCTGCCAGAAGCGGGCAAAATCTGACGCACATTTGATCGAGCGCCATCCACAGTTCCAGCATGGTCAGTACCATTATTGACACAGCTTCCGGATTGTCAGCGTAGAATGCACGCGCACGCCGATAATAGTCTCCAAACAGCGAGGCTAGGGCGCAGCTGAGACTCTCTGATGGTGTCAAGATATTCGTCCAGCCACCTAGCTCATTTTCTACCCAGCGTTCGCAATCGAATATGGTGAGCAGATTGTCCTCCTGGACAGTAGGAAGTCCATGTGCGTTACGCGGGTCTCAAGCGGGATAGGTGCGACTGAACTGGGATGTTTGTACTGTGCTGGGCGCTCGTGTCATCGCATTTCGGGGATACTCCGAACAGTTTTTGAGAGACATTTGAAGGTCTTTTGAGGTGTGTTGAAATGCTTGTGGTACAACGACTCGATCGGACTTGCGGATAGTGGCCTGTATATCTTGCAGAGCTTTCAGGATTACCCTCACGGTGGAGTGAGCCTGCTTTGCAACGAACTCGTAGGCGATTCTCTGCAACTTACATGTCCGACGAGCAATCTTCATGCGAACTATCTCCAAATAATTGGCAGAGACGGTTGGACGCATGTTTGTGGCCTGGATTCCGAGCCTTGCAACCAGGTAGAGCATGAAATTCTTGAATTGCAATTGCCCCTTGTCCTCGGGGAAGGCGCGACGAAGAAGCGTCTGCAGGGCAACGCGCATGACAAACCAATACGGCGATCGTCGCCAGGGGAGCTTGCTACTCTTCCAGTTGACCTCATCACGCATATGCTTCTCGAATGACGGCCACTTGTTTCGTTCGCCGAAAGCTAGAAGTTGGGTCATCGGACACTCGGTAACCGGACCAGGATGTGCAGTATCTCTCTCCTCTGGCAGCGTTCTACCGGCCTTCGTAGAAGTTGGACTCATCTCTCCACAACCTCAGTGGAAAGCCTTGTCAGGTCCCTTGCCAGCCAGGAACAGAACGTCGCCTCGCTCAGCCTGTCGCTGGGTATAGCCACACTCTGTCCGGGAAAACGACGAAGTAGGCTCCCTTGAGCGGACAGCACATCCTCCGCACGCGGTGATACCTGAAAGGCATCGAAGATGACTTTGTTCTGCGTTGTATCATGGAATCCTATCCACCCGCAATTTTGGGCGCGAATATAGAGAGCGAAGGCGCCTAGTTCTCACATTAGCCAACCTCCTGCACGATGAGTTTGTCACTGTACCATCGAGTCGAAGGTCGGATAGCTTCTGCGCTAGAGCCTTTTCGCAGGGTCCATCTGGTTTCTGGATCTTTAGCCAATTCTGCAGCATCCCCTGAGTGAGATTCAACCCCACTCTGAATTCCGACGGGCTCTTGCAGATGTAGTCCTGGAGAACTGCCAAAACATACTCGTGCAGTTTCCTCTCTTGACGCACTCCATTCTCTGTTTCATCTTCGTCATGCTCCTGTGGTAGCTTTGGGGGTAGAACGACATGATGGAAGAGAAAGTCGAATGTTCCTTGCGTGAGAGGCATCGTGAGCCACGGATAACACTGTTCGACTGTATGTTGATGGTTTTCCATGGCATGAGCAGAGCCATCGAGTTCTTATATGTTTGACTTGACGTAGATGTGATGAAGGAAGGCGGTTGACGACAGAGCTTTCGGGGATGTGAAGCTCGCTTTCGTGTCACGAGGATTGAAGCAGCGAAAGCGAACTCATGACCAGCAGATTTGGGTGATGGTGCCATAGAGTTCTAGCCTGGTTCCAGTGAATGCAGACAGCACCTGACCTACAGACTATTTTTACACTTTATCTGGGACATGTCCAGCCCTGCGATCCATGTTTAGTCGCAGGTTCTGAACCCTCTTGGATCCAAATGACCACCAAGGTAGGGGGGCAGAAGAGGCCCCGCCTCCGGAGGGTGTCAGGACAGATGTCAATCGTGATGCTATTATGACGGAACGAAGTATACGTGATGAAGAATGACGGGTTCGGTGGGGAATCGAAGCATGACTCCAAAGTGGCTATTCCAGGCTGATGCAATATCGGGCAAGTGAATGAATACTGCCACCCGTCTGCGCCTCTGACACCTGCCCCGTGTCGGCCTCAGGCATCTGCTTTCCTTTCGCCTCGGGCTTCAAGTTCAGCCCAGTGGATGCCTGAGGGATCACCTCCTCTTGCCTCAGGCATCACTACCTTTCTTCACCCTCGCAAACCACACCAAATCCTCCATCTCTTCTTCCAGCCCCAACCCAAGCTTGACAGCTTTACCGTTCTCCAAAACAAATTCAGCAGGAATTAAAGCCTCATATCCGTCGAGATGATCTTCTAGGCGAGCGATGTACTTCGACTGTCCCCCGACATGATCGAAGGTCAGTACAAACCCAAAGGAACGATCGGTCGCATCGACAAACAGCTGATCATTAGTAGCCTCCACCGTCAGTTCATGATACCCCAAGTTCTTATATCGGCCCACGTAGGCGCTCAGGGGTAACTGCTGAGGCTGAGGCTCGCGCACATCCGGGCACAGCCTTTGGCGCAGCTCCGTCTCGCTCGGGTTATCATCTTTTTCCCAGCTGGTCCACTCAATGCTATTCCAATCCGGGCGCTCGGTATGAGGCACTTGGAGAACCAGATCAATCAACTCTCTTGCCATAATGGCGACCGCCGGGATTGCCGTGTCTGAGTTTCCCAAGATCACGGCTCCGAATTGGAACTCAGGCAGGAAAAAGTGAGTGCTGCCAAAGCCGGCGACTGCGCCGTCATGACAGACCACCGCGTGTCCCCGGTAATGGTAGATCTCCCACCCCGCCGCGTAGAGGGTGAAGGACGTCTGTGGCGCGAGCTCCTCCTCTCCCGGGTCCTCAATGGAGCGTGGCTTGAGAAGTCCCTTGTAGAGGCTCTCTGTCACCGGGCCTTCGCGATGCATCATGGCTTTGACCCAGCGGATGTAGTCGTTCACGCTGGTGATGATCGAGCCTGCTCCTTGAGCTTCGGGGCAATCTGGCGTCTGAAACCCACGGTAGTCGCGCTGCTCTTTCTTCCAGCTGTAGCCCGTGGCGATACGGTCGCCCAGTCCTCGATCGCGCGCTCGTTGCGGCTGGAGATTGGTGGAAGCCATGCCCAGCGGGCGGAAGAAGCGGTCCTCCAGGAAATCGGCGAAGGATAATCCGGTCCTCTCTTCGACCAAATGCGTCGCAACGGTATACATCATGTTGCAATACATGTACTTGGATCGGATGGGGGCAGCGAGAGGCAGATGTCGTAGATTCCGGGTGACAGATCGCGCCGTATCCGGGGCACTCGCCCGCGGGCTCAAGTAGGAGAAGTCGTGCCTATTGGTGTCAGTCTACTATCGGGTGTGCGTCAGTATTGGGTGAATCAGTCTCACGGAGCCATGCCTGTCCGATGACTCAAGATATCATCTACAGTTACCCCTGCGGTGGATTCTGGATCTTGTAGGACAAAATCATCGGGCAACAAAGCCGACATGGAAGCGTCGTATTGCACCTCCGGGTATTGCTCATCATCCTCGACCAACAAGGCCAGGGAGGCCGCGGTCAGTGATTTGGAAGCGGAGGCAATATCGAACAGGGTGTCTGGTGTGCAAGGCCGTGGGGGACTGAAGGACGCACTCCCGTATCCTGCTGAAGCGATGCGGCCGTGGTGAACAATAGCCAGGGCCAGGCCTGGCACATGACGTTCGTCCAGGAGTCTCTTCACACGGTCGCTGAACTCGTTGGACTGAAAATAATCAATGACCTCCATTGAAACAGTTTTGACAGGTACTCTGGTAATGCCTAAGCACCTGACTTCGATTTATACTACCAAATTCAATGGGTCGTGTGGTAATATACGAAGGTTGCTTTGGAAAGGAGGGGTAAACTGCCCGCCTTGCAGGTGCTTGTGCCACCCCGCATCAGCCACAGTAAGCCTCGATTCGACCCAAGCGCCTCCGGATGCTTTGCCACTGCGCTTTCCATAAGTTAACCAACGTATGCTCGGGAAGTGGCCGTGTGTTGGAAACAACTGAGAGCTTCAATACGTGGCAAAAGCTTGATATTTGTAGATGGGAGGGAGTACTGCGGCGTGCTGAATTTCAAGTCTCACACATCGTCCAACACATTGCACCATCAACAAAGAAGTATTACAGAGGTATCATCAAAAACAGACACGCATGACATATGATCGATCATAAATGGAGGATGCTACCGAGAGAAGTAGGCGGTCTGGGATGAGAAGCGAGGAAGCGCCGTCCGGGCGCATGGATGGTATGGTTGCAACCCGCTGCAGCCTACGACCCTCTAGCAGCAATGGTCTGGACGATGATATAGTAGGCCAGGGCCAGGCCGGTGACCACAACTTCATCGGTGACCGGACCGCTCGGTAACCGTGGGTCGAGCTCGAGGCGACCCGCCTTGGTCATTGTCCAGCCCCGATTCGGGATGAAGGTGGCGACCACGGTGCCGTGCTCATCGCGGCACTCCAAGTACGCCGGGTTCATATATTTAGGGTTCTTCCAGGTGAGGACTCGGCCGTTGAGAGCCGGTGACTGGAAGGAAGCTTCGTACTTGAACACCCCGCGCGGCTTGAAGGCGATCTGATGGCCGTTGACGATGACATCGATGGAGCGGGAGAAGGAGTGGAAGTTCACCGTGGCTGGCAGTCTGGCGCTCCCGGTGGCCTGGAAGATCATATGCGGTTTGCGGAAGTTGAGGTCGGCGGCGTAGACGAGAGTGCTTGGGGTGGGCTGGTTGGGAAGCCCTTCGGTGACTTCCAGGTGCTTGCCGGTCCAGCTGGTAAAGTCGACATTGAGGGATCGCGGTTGAGACATTATGAGAGAGATATGGGATACATTTGCTGTCGCAGAAGTGACCGTACATCTCAAGACATTTATATAGCTATACCTACCTATACCTCAGCTGGAGTGCATTCAGCCTTGCCCAGCAGTGCCCAGTGGCCAGTCTACGATGCCGCAATGGGGGCGGTGTCCGTCCGTGCCTGAGGCTGTGTCGCCAGCCTCGCTGATCATTGGCTGCTCCGTCAATTCCTGTTTGGGAATACGAGCGGCTGGGCCCGTGCGGCTGCGTGCCTGAAGACACCTCAGGACCCTGTCCACGGGCGCAAAATCAGGATCAGGATCAGCCCTGTAGGCTTACATTGTACTGTGAGAAATGTGATGCTCGAAGTCTCTTTGTTCTAGCCGGACGATGCAGTCTAGATTCACACACAACTTCCGTTTTGCAGTTCCTGATGGCTGTAAGCACTGTGGCAGCCCATGTTCAGCCTACCTATCAACACGCCGGGATATATCATTCCAGAATCATGCTCTGCCGCACGCAACACCACTGACCTTTGGCCAAAACGTATGCCGATCTTGGCTCTTGTCTACTCCAATTACTTACTAGTAATCTCATCCATCTAGATTCATACTGGGTCCAAGAGATGGCTCTCCATAAACATCATTGACTGTCTAACCAACTGCCCGAGCATCTCCACCCTCGCACAATGTACGTCTATGAGCACTCATTCCACCCCTGGACATGCCAGACACCTCTTGCCAGTTCCACCTTACCATGGGCCGCTGCCACTAGAGTAAAAGCCCCCTCGAGATTTGTTGCAGCATTCGAAAATAGCGAAGATGCATCTCTGGCGTATCGAGACAAAGAGCTAGTGGTCTGGTCTGCAGCCAAGCAATGTACCGGAACCCTTTAGGAAAAGGTACCCCTGCAATCCCTGGGCATGACAAACAAGACGAGACACCATTGGGTGTGAAGCTTCGAATTGCTCGGCGCATCTCTCGTATCTAGCCTACTTCTTCGTCTGGCTCATGCGCCCTGGCCGCAGGGACAACATTCCTCAGCTCCACGCTCGAATTCCTGTCACGGGCAACCACATACCGGATGGCTCTAGCTGTGGAGATGCTCCTGACAGACCCCGGTCTCCAACCATCTGCAGACCGCTATAAAGGTATCAATGTGGTCGCCTGCTCGTTTCTCTTCCACCGCCAGTCAGACCTTCCATCAGCCCTAGTGAAGCCACCCGACAGAACACCAGAAAATGGCATCCCAGCCCACCAGCCTTCCCCAGCTTCTCTGCTTAGCACTGCCTCTATTTGGCCTGCTCACCCAGGCAGCCCCCAACAAACTGACCTCTTCTCCCAACATCCAGCTGGAACCCCGCGGGGGCTCGCCCGACAAAGACGGGATCCAAAACTACCCGCCCAGCTGCCAAAACCCCTGCGACGGGGTGACCCCCAACGCGACGGACCCCGTCTCTGGATCCTACTACTGCTCGTACTGCATCTGCAACAACCGCTTGTTGGGCCCCGCCAACTTCGAGCCCGCCAGCAACTTCACCGACTTCTTCATCGACTGGAAACCTCTGGACAGCCAATGCCCGCGGGACTGGCTCTGCACCTGGTCCAACTTCACCGCGGGGCCGTACCTCAACACGCAGTATTACTACCCCCAGAACGATGGGTTCAAAGGGTGCCCCGAGAATGTCACGCTGGAGGTGGGCACGCGAGTCGACCGTTTCGGGTCCCCACGCGGCGGGTACCTGGCTACGCCCGAGACCTCCTTTGCGCAACGCTCGATCCCGCCTAGCAATTTGAACATTTTCAACGATAGTACGCTGTACAACTACTGGCAGTATGAGGTGCGGCGACCCTTCTGGGCCTTTTATGGCGAGGTGCTGCCGTGGTTTGGTCAGCCCGGTGGTGGGGAGCAGTGGTATGTTCCCGCGGGATTAGGACCGCTGATCGACAATGGAACCCTGGTGCTGGTGGCGGCCAAGACTTATGAGGACGATGGGTCGGATGAGGAGTACAGGGCGGCCGCATGGATGCAGGCTGAGGACGCGGTTGTGATGGGCGAGAACGAGATGTACCATTAGACTGAGGTAATTGGGCGCTTCATCTAGGAGGTTGATTGTGGTTGAGTGGGATCTGCAGGGACCGGTCTTTCGGACAGGGTGTTTGGACAATCATCATATTGGATGTCATTAAGAGTTCTAACAGGCTAGCGAAAGCGCGAGCAGTGATTGAAGACTCTACCCCTACCATTTTAAACCCAATTACCGTCCACACCGACCACAGACGCCCGGATGCTGACGGATGGCTGCTGCGAGGCATTCGTCGGCCGCCGAGCTCGTATCTTCGTGACTGAGAAACTTCTCCCCAGCCCAGGGAGGTTCTTCGTCTCTTCTGAGGGCATACTAATTGTCTCCTCCAGACGAAGCACCACCTCCACCGCCTTGTCATCCTCGATTACCTTGGTTTGACGATTGGCAAAATAGCGGGCGTGCTTGAACAGCGACCAGTGGCAACTGGCCACATTTGATCAGGAACAAGACAATCTTGTAGGGCAAGGGTTCGTCACTCGCGTATCCACAGTGAATGCACGTACTTACGAAGCGTTCCCAGGAAGCAAGTTTGGTATGGAAAATCCGCTTCTTGTCGCATCGAGCAGTGGTTTTCCAACGCATACGTACATCAATTTATGGGAATTGTGATTGAACACCATTTGCCCTCCCGTTCCTGGTTCATCCCACTCTGTCTCGAGCTCTGTCTCGAGATTGGGGTTGAGCTACAGAGGTCGGATCAGAGCCGCTAAAATTGTCTCTGGATCAGGGACCACTTCAACAATCCCTCCAGACCTAAAGACCCGGGCATGCTCAGTCTGACCAACTTTCTAATCCCTCATCGAACTCAGATCTCCTGCCCGTCAGTCGTCGCAATGTGAGACAAATATACCTTGCGTGCTCGAGCAAACCAGTCCGCGACGATGATGCAACCAATGAAGGCATATATCACGCAGATGTAATTCATATCTGCTCAGAGTCAGCCATCCTGTCGTCAACAAACAGATACAGCAGTCGCACTTACTTCCAGTGGTAGCAGCCATTTGCGCAGGAAATGAGTAGAAGACCCAGGTAAAGAGAATCCATCTCAGCCAAGCTCAGTTGGCCAACAGGCCCAGCCTCCCAAGCCAGAACGGGCCATGTGGACTGTTGTTACGGCCACGAAGCAGAAGCCCCATAACCGGCAGCACATGGGACAGGTACGGGAGGACAATGCATCCCGTCACCATTGAGTTGAAAGCCCACTGCGAGGCAAGGTGGATGCATCCGATGGCAGCTGTCCAGGATTAGGGAGTGGTACCAGTGGTAGCGAGCAGGTGAACAGTGAGGCCGACAAATCTGATGGCAATTACTCCCATGAGTGGAATCGGCACCATCCTCTCCTGCCTGACAGCTGCATCGAGGCCGCTGAAACCCCAGGTTGCGTTGATCAACCCCAGGTGCTTTCCGGCATGTCACTCCCTGTTCAATGTCTCAACTATAAAATCTGTTGTGTTTTAGGAGGTCAAGATGAAGACGTGTTGAAAGTCACGTGGCCGCTCCCCGACAAATGTGACTGAGCAAGGGTAGTAATTCTGTGACTCGTAGAGACAGACAGTCATTTGAGGCATGTCTTCCTCTATGCTTATAGCTATGGCATTATCACCGACTCTGTTTGAGGGTATAAAGTAGTATTACCAGGGTGTTCAGGTCTTTTGGCTCTTCTCTTACACCGGGCGGTGAAGGGCGGCAAGTGTGAGTCATTTCTGCTTCTTTTCGTGGATATTGACTTGGTTGACTTTGTTTACTCCGTCAGTGCTGATTTACTTTATCGTCATTACCAGACAGTCACCAAATAGGCATCATGCTAAATCTCATCCTGGTCACCGGGAATAGACACAAGATTTCTGAGCTCAATGCAATCTTAGGCAGCTCAGTCACCTTGAATTCAGTCGACCTCGATCTGCCCGAGATTCAAGGCACCGTGGAAGAGATCACCCGGGAAAAATGCCGTGTGGCCGCCGAGAAGGTACCCCGAAGTGGTCAAACTTTGACTGGCGCACACTGACCCCATTCAATAGATCGCTGGTCCGGTCCTAGTCGAGGACTCTGCGCTGGAAATGCATGCTCTGAACCGTCTGCCGGGGCCTTATGTGTTTGTCCGCCCTGTATTTCTGTTGTGCTTGAGTAGGAAAGGCTGACTGATGGGTGAGTTGCGACTGATACAGCAAAGCTTTTGTGGAGAGCGTCGGCAACGAGGGTCTCTACAAGATGCTTGCTGCTTTTGAGGATAAGACCGCAGAGGCCGTTTGTACCATAGGCTATTCTCCAGGACCAGGGGCGGAGCCAATCCTCTTCCAGGGGAGGCTATTGGTGAGTACTGCACTACTACCCTGGGATCATATCGCTTGGCAATTCACTCATCTCGACCAGGGCAAGATAGTTCCCGCGAGGGGGGCCTCCTCATTTGGTAGGCTTGGTCTTCAATTGGCATGTCCCGGTCACTAACAGCGATCCAGGGTGGGAACCCATCTTCGAACATGACGGGGAGACATTGGCCGAGATGGATGTGGACAAAAAGGTAAGAACAACTAGCACGTCGCATGATGGCACCGTCTTGCTCACACAGTACATAGAATGGACTGTCTCATCGATTCAACGCCGCGCAGAAGTTGAGCGAGTGGTTGAATCAGAATGAAGGGACGGTATAGTGTAAGCGACCCAGCTTTGCCTTGGTCTTCGCAAATCGTGATCCACCCTAATGCTCATATTCGTGCACCAGCCATATATAACTTATAAACAAGCAGCCCGTCCCCAATCGATAGAATAGAATTTCCATGTTCCAATTCGGTCAAGTGCCAAACATACCTAGCATTCTTTCATCGAATAGAGGTAAAATGAAGGACCCAGGCCGGTTCCACGTTATTGCTACACCATATGGGCTTCTAAGGCAAACTCCTCCCGCAATACATCTGACAAAAGCTTGACACCTGCGCTCAAATCCTTCGCCAGTGCAGCCGCAGACGTCAATCGGATGCAGAGCATACCCTGGCGCTTCGGGCTAGGAGAGAACAATGACCCTTTCGTGACCTGCACTCCATGCTCCAGAGCCCTCGACACGATCCAAATCTCCATCTCAGCCAGAAAAGCCTCCACACTGAAGTCAGTTGTCGTCTGGTAGCGAAGCAGAGGATGCTGGCGATGATCGAGCTGCAGCCAGAGAAACATCCCATACTGGGGACAATTCCAGGACCCAAATCCGCGAGGGAGATACTTTTCACAAGCCCGCAACAGAATATCGCGACGTAACTGGTACTGCCGTGAGAGATTCGACAACCACAACAAAAAGCCTTCGTGACCCCACGTCTTATCGAGCAACTGCCAAAGCATGAGCTGGATCGGCCCATCGATCCCCAGCGTCGAGACCTCCTGGTATGCCACGAATTTGCGAATGACCTGCGATGAGGTAGTCACCTCCCCAGCACGAAGACCAGGGGCCGGGATCTTGGATGTTGAATCTAGGCAGACAACGCGACCAGATCGATCGATCGAGAGAGAGGATGGGACTGCTTTCGCCTGAAACCTGTCGATGGCGGTGAGCACGCTATCACCTCCATTACCCTGCCCATTGAGCTCGTCGTCAAACTGCATGCCCAGACGCCGAGAGTAATATGGGTCATCTTCGATGATAATCAGGTCGTGCGTTTCCGCAATTCGATAGATCTGTTCCCGTCAAGCCAGACCCTGAGTAACCCCGGTCGGTTTTTGCCCAGTGGGGATCGTATACAAGACACGGGGCTTGGAAGAAGCCGAGGTGTCCCAGTTTTGTAATATCTCGTCCAAGACATCCGGGCGCAGTCCTTCTGCATCCACGGCCACTGCCTGCACTCGGGTGCCCTGCAGACCTGCTCCTTCCACAGCGCCAGGGTAGGTGTAGCACTCAGTGAGAACAGTATTTCCTCGGTTACAGAAGATCCGATAGGCGATGTCCAAGGCAGACGTCGAGCCACACGAAAGACACACGACCCAGTCGGAGTACCGCGGTCGATGCATCATCTCCACGTGTTCTGTAAAGAATCAGAGTAGGTGCTGTACTCAAAGAACAATGGCATATATGATCTTCGAAAGCGATGCTGCCGTGTCGCAAACTGTGCTCTCGAGATAGCCTTGTCGTTGGACCAGCTCAATGACCTGCAGCTAGTACTTCAGTCGAGAACCTCATCGTTCGTTCGTACATGGCAGGCGATCAGAGTCAGTACAGCTCCCCATCCGGGCAATACCTGTTCCTTTGCACTGACAGGACCCAGGCTATCAGTATTGGCGACGACTTGGGGATGGTATTGCGTCAATATTTGCTCTCAATTCATCAGACCAACGGTCTGTAGCGGAATGCCCCTGTTTTTCTCCAAGAGCTGCGTCGAACTGCATGCGAATCTTCTCCGCCGATAAGAACATGGCCATTTTCCTCGGTCGGCCTCCGCGGATGCCACGCCATTTCGGCGACTTTCACATCCCTTCGGCTCCTGCGGGGACCAGCCACTGGGATCTGTCTTCAGACCCAAGTGACATCACTCCCGATCGGAGCCCAGCAGCTGTCCCTCTTATGTGGCTGAGTCACGCTGGTCTGCGTTGTGTGCAAGCCTCAAGGAAGATATCTTATACCTGCAACGCGACAAGAAGAGCGACGAGTTCCAGCAGCAAGTCCGGTATCTCCGTTCATCGGCATGAAGCGTAAAAGAGCCTTACTAATCTTGCTGGTATTCTACAAGCACAAGCTGGGAGATTGTGAGATGAGCACCCGCGACAGTTCCGGTTGGAGGGAAGCCTGAAGGAGACCACAAAAGACGGTGTTGAAAGGGACTCTCTCGCCAGCGTCCAGCTCAATCACTTGCATGTCCTGTTTCTGCTTCGTCTTGTGGTCCTACCCTCTCCTGCCACCCCCAGTCGGGAGCTTGTAACCCTCGCCGAGCAAATTTTGGCCACTGTTGTCGCGTTAATAATCCTGCGCGACCAGCTCACAAATTCGGGCACAACTCTGCTGTGGAAGGTATGAGGCGGATCGATGAGCAGCGTCGAGTAGAACATAAACTGATTCAGGCCTGTCAGATCGTGCATTATGGCCTTCCTGCCGCGGGCATCATTCTCTTAGCCGTGTTGAACCAACGTTGTTCGTCCGCTCCGGTCCCGGCCCCTCATCCACGGGCGATCCAGAACCTGACTGTTTTGGCTGCGGAGCTGTCAGGTGGATCAGTGGTGCAACTGCAAGACCCTAATTACGATCTGATTTCCAGGGCATTGTCCACGATCCACAACATGCTGGATTCAATTACAGCGGATGCACTGCGGGGACCGGGAGCGCCGTCTCCCCGCACCACGACCCTCGCCGACTGGGAAGAATTTCAAAGCCAGCTCTCGTGGGACTTGGACCTTAGGTTCTGGCAAAATCTGGCCGATACCCCATTTTTGGGAGACTAAACGAGCACCTCACCCTGTTTCAAGGAATGAGCAGGAGGATACGTAGGCAAGACACTAACCGCAAAGAGAAATGATGTTGCCTGCGGTGAATGGGCACCATGACGACATCATAGTGATGTATTTTCAAAAACCCCCTCCCCGTAGGGCTGAACCAAGTCTTTCTTGGCTTTAAAGCTTGGCTGCGATCGCCATGGCTTTATTTGCCCATCGCTTCCGTCCCTGAATAACTGCCTTCATCATCCATGGCTTCCTCCCGGTCGGTGCCTGTCCTTGATCACCTCCCTGAGCATCTCCGTCCTCCGTCTTGGCGCGTGTTACTGATGAACAACTCACAGAATTCGACATGATCCCAACTGGTCCGCCCGCCAAGGTCTGGCTGGCTCATTCTTAAAACTCTTCCTTCGGACCTACACGGCCTGTCACTTCAAATGGCCCATTTCGCTGAAGCCACACCATGAGGGGGACCGATTTGTGGTGATCGATCCCGCCAACACGCACTTTTACACAGGCGTTGCAGTGGATCAAGAAGTCAAGCCGGAGGCCGTCGGGGCCACGTGGTTTCCAGAACCTTGCAGTGGCGCCACCTCCATTCCTGATGGGCAATACGTCGTGCTTCATCTTCACGGCGGCTCGTACGTGCTGGGTGATGGACGCACCTCCTCCTGCAACTTCCTCGCGAAGACACTTCTCACCCACACACCGGCCAGTCACATCTTGTGCTTACAATACCGACTCGCCTGCTACCCGAATGGCCGATTCCCGGCCCAGCTACAGGATACCCTCGCTGCGTATGTCTACCTCATTCACACCCTACAGATCCCTCCATCCCGCATCGTGCTATCCGGCGATAGCTCAGGGGGACATCTTGCGCTGGCCCTGCTGCGCTACATCGTCGAGTACGACGACCCGTCCCGACTCCCACCTCCACAGTGCAGCTGGCTCTGGTCGCCATGGTGCGATGTCCCCGCCGCAGTGGACCCGGACAGTTGGACCCAAAGCGAGAACTACGGCACCGAGTACATCCCAGGCTCCTTTCCCACCTGGGGCGCCCGGCAGTTCCTGCGCGACCTGGCCATCACAGAGACAGTGGAGCGGTACGTGGCACCCATCCACCATCCGTTCATACTCCCCTCGCCCGTGTTGATCATCACGGGAGGTCGTGAGGTTCTATTCCCGGATCATCGGGAGCTGGTCCGACGGTTCCAGGAATTAGCCGGCAATGAATCACAGATTGAGCTGGTGGTGGAAGAGAAGGTGCCTCACGACGTCCTCATGATTGGCTGGATTATGAGGTTCCATCAGGAGGCAGAGGCTTGTGCTCGACAAGCGGGGGATTTTGTGCGGCGCGTGGGGGCCGCAGAGAGGTCTGGGGTGACAGAGCAGACACGATGATGACTGCAACGATCACGATCAGAATTGAGCGTTGAATGTACTATCATGTAGCTTGAAGAATTTACATCAGCAATCGAGTACCCAGCGCAACGGGAAAGTAGGCCCCGGGGCAGAGTCGGCCATAAGCCGGACTATTCTCCGTGACATGTTGGTCCTATTAGCGCCTCCGAACCCCGCTTCCCAGCCTTCTTGTCACCGTTGTGCTGCAATTTCAATGCACAGTGAATGGCGGAGAAAGCCCATGAGCCACCACCGTAAATGTCCGAACGGCATATATCTCTCACATCCTTCGGAGGATGACAACCGTCAGCTCGGGCCCTCGCATCGTGGTTCCTGAGCCCAGCCTGAAGGTGTGCGAGCGCCGGAGTCCGGAGTTTTTCAAGTGCGCCCCACCGTTCGCTCCTGCAGAATGCTGCTGATGCTCATGGGTTCCGCGGGACGGGGAGCTGACGCGGTCTGTAGGATAACGTTTGTACCTATTCACTTTCAGGGCCGTTGAATGCGGTTGCGCCGCTGAGGTGTAAAAGAAGCTCATTCTGACGTCAGTATAAGCAGCTGTTTCTCTCCCTGACAAGCTCAAAACTCATTCTTCATGGCAGTACGTAGCCAATTCAAGCCTTGAATACGAGGCAGTTCCATCGGTGTTTGCTTATCCTGCTGTTCCTGCTCCGTCCGAGTCGTCCTCGAATGCACCCTGTGGTGCGGGCTGAGATAAGCACTAAATGGACCCTAATCTGTTTCTTGACCAAATTCCGGAGCGACGCCCGTTTCGAGCCATCCCAAGTCCTGCAGGATCGTCGGACCTTCGAGAGAGGGATTTGTAGTTCCTGACAAATTCAGGTCCCAGTTAATAATGCGCGGAGACCATGTCGGGCCTACAGTATCAGCCTCATGTTGCTGTATATAAAGATGGTTCAACGCGATGAATGAGCAGTCGACAAGACGCTGGAGCATTCCTCGCGGTTCAGGATGCAACTCACCACGGCCATTCTCCTGATTGCTGGCTTGTGCACCTCGGTGCATAGCCAGGGCTTTGCGGACGATTGCACCGATATCTATCTCCTGGAAAATTGGCTGGTGGGCACTTGTCCGACCAGCGACGGGAGTGGAACTATCACCAGTAGTGTCTACCTCCCCAACAAGATCACCAACAGCGAAGCCACGCTAGCGGTATGTTCCTCCTCTTCTTGCGGTTGTTCTGGTCGTCAGGGCTTGTGCTGACCTACTGCTATCAGTGGAAAACCGAGTAAGTTCCTCGTCCTGCCCCATGCGTCGACGCCGAGTATTGAGTCCCGTAGCGGTGCGTATTCGCAGTCCTGCAGCGAATGCATCCTGCTCAATGAGGGAGCGACTCTGCAATGCTACTGCAAGTCCACCTACGCGGCGAACAGCAAGAACACGACCTTGAACCTGGGTAAGAGATCTTCCCCAGCCGAGGAGTGCTCCGTGCTGATAGTGCCGCAGAGGAGCACATCGCCAACTACGATGGACATCTGCTCTCCAACCTGACCGGCAGCGTGACCTCCATCCCGGCTGACTCGTCCTGGCCGATCCCCTCCGACTTTGAGGTGCAGCTGCAGGTCTCCAGCCTGAACAACAACTGCTCGACGATCGGGGGGTATCTGACTCTCAACGATCCGCAGGACTGCTACTATCTCAACCTGGGGGTGGAGTACTACTGGTACGCGGCGACGACGGTCAACAACCTGGGGTGGAAGATTGTGGCGTACCACGACAGCACGTGCAGCGGGGAGGCAGTGGGCACGTTCACGCCGGAGAATGTCGACACTTGCCTCACCTTTGAGGATGGAGTCTCCGGCTTTGCCGTCATTCCGCTGTGGAATGCCGACTGATTCACTGTTTGCTGTGTTTGCTGTGTTTGTTGTTTTGGTAGTCAGTCGGGTCGGAGCGGAGCGGATCGGATCGGAGAAAGTCCGAATCCGAGTCAGTCAGGCTGAGCAAATGTTGCAAACATCCAATGCCTCCGACTCTTTCTCTTTGGATCTTGTCGTGGAGAATGAACAACCTCAGCTGCATTGTGTACAGTACCTATCGAGATATATATTCTCTCTATGCACAATGGGTCGCTTGTCGAGATAGTCTTTTCATTCCTTTCATGATTTGCAATAGAATCATCCCTCCATGACTACAGCCCACCCTGTCGGTGGGGCAAGGGGTCTGGACGTGGGCCGGTGCACTGCCCAAATCCATGGCTGCAATTTGCAGACTCTAATTAAAGCAGTTTTGGTGCCTGCTTGCCTAAATTTCCAGCCACTGACGGCTCTCTCATTTGCAGACTAGTGCACTCCCAGGTTCCCTCGTGTCCATAATTGGTGAGGCTGACTCCATGTTCAGGGTCTTGCCGAGCCTCAATACGAGATGGTGCTTGCTTTTGAACCACCCCCATTAAAAAGGGGCTCAGCCGCTGAAGATTCATCCATGCCTCTGCGACAGTGACACAATCCATCGGTTGACAATGTCCGGCGCGAACTTTGCCTGCATAGAATGACTGCCCATGACCGCATCCAGTGGCTGGATGGCCTCCGCGGCATCGCCGCGGCGATTGTGGCCTTTGACCACTACTTTATGAGTGATGTCTGGCACCCTTTCGTCTCCTTCTGGGCTGAACCCCCCGAGGCCAATCGGCACTTGGTGCAGCTTCCTCCCATCCGCATTCTTTTCTCCGCCCATTCGATGGTGACTCTGTTCATGGTGATCTCCGGCTTTGCCATCTCCGTCAGTCTGCTCAAAGCCCGCCACAGCCCGCAGTTTCTGCCGCGAGTGACCTCCGCCATCGTGCGGCGCCTCTTTCGCATTTATCTGCCAGTGGTTGTCCTGGCCACCCTGAGCCAGATCTTATTCTTCTTCGATTTGTACCACTGGACCTTCGACGAGGGGTTTCTCGATGGACTTCAACCCTGGACCAGCCCGTGGGACCACATCAAGTGGTTGTGTGGCTACATGGCCGATAGCATCAATGTCATCGCCTTCGAGTATCGCGGCGGTCTGAACGGCCAGCTATGGACTATGCCTCTAGAATTCCGCGGATCCAACGTGGTGTATCTACTGACTGTCGGATTGTCGGCATGGCGTCCCAAGCTCCGACTCTGGGCTCTGCCACTCCTGGCGGGATTCTTCCTATGGGCTGGCAACTGGGACATTTTCGGATTCATCTGGGGCCTGTGGCTGGCGGAGCGGGCGATCAACACTACCTCTGTGGCGAGCGCGATGGCAGATGACGACCTCGACGACGAGGAGAAACTGTCCCGGCCGTCCTGTTCTACCGCGCAATGCAGGTTCCGGTCCTCGCTACGAAAGCTCTTCACTCTTTCCCGGATGATCACCTTCCTCACCTTCGTGGTCGGATACTATCTCCTCTGCCTCGGCAGCGACGGCCAGCTGCCCCGGGGCTACCAGTTCCTCGCTGCCCTCCAGCCTGCCAAGTGGAAGGACCGGTGGGAGATCTACCATTGGTGCTGGAAGTCCGTGGGCGCCGCGTGTTTGGTCTATGCGATCGCCCAGTCCCCGTGGCTGCAAAGGCCCCTCAACACCCGGCCCGTGCAGTATCTTGGCAAGATCTCGTTCTCGCTGTACCTGCTCCACGAGACCATTTACCAGCTGTGGCGCAATCCCCTGCGAGATTTTGTGTATCTGCTGGCGAGCGGGAACCCGTACCTGACTAGTGCGGAGGCCCTGCGAGATGATCCGTTCGCGTTCCATGTGGCTTGGTGGGGGTCTGGAATTATCTTGGGGGCGGTGGTTGTTCTCGCGTCCCATTACTACACTATTTATGTAGATAACAAGTGTGTGACGCTGGCGAAAAGATTGGAGCGATGGTTCACCTCTTGATTTTGGGAGGGGACGTACCTTCCAGAGGCTTGTCATTCCGTCCTTTTGGCCATTTATTCAAATGGACGCACGACAAGTCGCATTCGGCACTGGCTTTCTCTCACAGCATCGACTCTACATGCAGGTCCACAATAAACTCGTACGTTCTACACGTGGGCACCCACCGTGCATTCGGAGAGGTCACCGCAGTCGTGGGCTCGGCAAAGCCGCGAGTGTAGTAGGAGCTGTAGCCACGAATACGGGCAGGTTTTCAGGCTAGGTGCACTCTTTGTTGCAAAATACGCGTTGCATGGAATCTAGCCGTGGAGTTCAGTTCTGGTTGGGTAAATTGGTCTCATCGACCCAAAGAGACCCTGCAGCACGGTTGTAAAGAAGAATCAGCCGGCTCTATCTAAACTTGGAAGTCACATACCCATTTTCTGTCCCAGCCTTTTGTCATAATTATCCCAGCAAGCTCAAAACACAATTGGGTCTATAATAGGGAATATCAGAGACAGCTGTTGGGCGGCACTCAGCAAACGTCTACAAAAATAACTCAATACCACGCTTTGTGGACATTCTAGACATATATTCCTTACATTATCACAAGTATACCACGGATCTACTCAACGACCACCACAACGAAGCATTGAGTTCTCGATAGCTCAACCCCCTGGTTCGTCCCCACAGTGTGGCAGCAACACCACCCCAAGCCATCCCCTACTGCGCCGTCCCCACGATGTTGTTGAAGGTAGCATAGTTCACCGTCGAATCCGGCAAGCTCTCCTTCTTCTCGGCACAAGTGACGGAGATATCCAGCGGGCCCTTGCTCCACTTCCCGAGCAGACTCTTGCTGCCGGAGAGCTTGGGCGGCACGACGAGCTGGTAGGTGTGGTCGTCGCCGTCGATCTTGGAGACGCGCACAGTCTCGGCCGGGGTCCAGGTGCTCTTCTCCGCCTTGATGTAGGCGTCGATCTTGTCCTTCTTGTACCAGATCTCGCCGTCAGTGCCGTATGTCCTGGGGATCCAGGCTTTGGTGGCCGCGGCGAACTTGGTCTTGTCGGCGTAGATGACGCAGTACCTTTCCTCTATCAGTGCTGGCAGCATGAAGGGCAAGGGGGAGGGATTGCTTACCAGTCGGTGGCGGAACCGGCCCATCCACCGCGGTTCGCGGTCAGATAGGTGCCCTCGCCGAGTTGGATGTTGGCGCGGTTGCCCTCGTAGGTGAGGGTGCCGGCTTTGTTGTACTTGGCGGCTTGATCCTAGGGAGCTGTCAGAATACGATGATGACTGACAAGTGGGGATGGGGATAAGCCTCGAAGCGTCATACCTTACTCACGGTGCGGTAGCCGATGATGATGTTCGACGCACGCTCCTGCAGAGCTCGCTCCTCCACTGCGGCGGGGGCAGCAGTCACGGAGCTGGCCACGGTCAGGGCGACGGCGAGAATGCTTCCGATGGAGAGCTTCATGTTGGAGTGGAATAAAGTATAGAAAAGATAGTTGAAAGAGTGGAATGAAAAGAGTGACGGCGACCCACGCAGTGGAGCTGTAAAAGAGTGACAGTGAAGCTGGGGGCTGGTAGATGAGGTGAATGTGTGATGAATTCAATCTCAACCGCGACGGATCTTGCAGTCTTTATACCTCTGTTGCACAACGCGAGACAGTGCCTGCAATTGGAGCGTGGTCGAGGTTGTATCCGGTGCAGCAGAATGTCTCTCAAACGGCCCCGAGGATTGGGGGCCAACGTCCCTTCGGCCCCCGACAGCTGCATCGGCGCGTCTTCAGGGCAGATTCCGGCTGCGCAATCCCTCTTCCGAGCTGACAGGGTCCAGTATCTTATGCAAGGGGCCACGCTTGCCCTGCGTGGAATCTCAGCCCTGCCCGGCTGATGCTCGTGCTGGATGGTGTCTCGGGATGCAGCTGCTCGGCAGGAAAGTTGACCAAGTTACATCGTGCTTTCTAGGAGCCGAAATAAGATCTCTCGCTGAGTTCATAGCTTCAAATAACCTTCTAGAGACACAAGACTCTGTTAGATTGTGTTGACCTTGGCGACGTACGCAGGCTGTAGAGTAGTAAGGTCAATAGCTTGGGGCTAGTTCCCAAGACCCTTGGCGGATGGGGATCTTGGTTCAAGCCAAGCCATCAGGGTCTTTCGAGCTCGTATTCAGACTAGTCCGTAAAGTCCGTATAGACCTGTTCGCGTCTGAGATGAAAGTGGCATGAGGATCTTTAGGCACCTGTAAATATGCTCGTCCCCATCGGGCTAGCCTGTCAGCCTTGCTGCCTCAGCCTCAGGCATCCACGTGGTGGTGCTCGCCGCTCAATATTACTGGACAGGATTTCAGGTTTCTTTTATGGACAGCTGGACTCGTGATTGAGAGAGCTGCTCAGAGAGATTCATGATGTCTCTTGGGCTGGCCAAAAGTTGAATGTTGAATAACGTTGCCGTAGAAGTGTCCACCAGTCTTTTGTACCTGCGGAGTAAATGGCTGGATATATGTTGTCGCCTTTAGTTGATCATTTGCTAGTTGATATCAGACCAAACTATCTAGTACTTATTTCTTTGCACTGTGGGGTACTCACTGGCTGTTTCTTATACTTTCAATACCTTGATACTTCATCTATACAGTTCGAATGCTTCAGATGGCATGCCCACGTGGTGAATGAGGTGGAAAGAGGGACGTGAGCACGTGATCCGGACTTACTACACCCGATGCCGTAAATCCGATCCGGGGCCGAATTCCTTCGATCTGACTAAATTGTCACCAACAACCTTTCATCTTGTCGTCCAGACCAGCTCCTTCACGTACATGGACTCCCCTTCGCCTCAGTCCCTACGGCGGAACGGTCGAAGACAAGCCTGCGAGCCATGTCGCAAACTCAAGACACGATGCGACCACGTGTGGCCCAAATGCGGCCGATGCAGCGCCAAGAACCTTGCCTGTGTGTACCTGGTCGCCCCAATGACCAAAACATTTCGCCCCTTTCACCGTGGT